TCCACGACAACCAAACGGCAGGCTGACGCTCTGATTGGTGCGATGGTTCATGCAGACCAGGCAGGGGGTTTTACCTGAGAAGACAAGGTCAGGGGTGTAAAAACCATGCACAAACACATTAGTCTGTCAGGAAACTAACCTTAACTCAGCTAAAATAATACATAAAAATAATGATTTATGATCTCGTTGTTCTGATAAAATGTCTGAAATATTTGTGGAATATTGTGATGAAACAAAGCCAGCTCCTTTTTTGTTGGACTTTCTTTCCTATTTTCAACTTTAAAAGGTAAAAACTGACTTTTGTTTAGTAAGAACTGACCGCTAAAGTCCTATGATTGATTCAAACCCTCACAAATACAATATAAATAAACACTAAGACTGACATCCTGTATCGTTTTTTAGAGAAAATATGATTTTGACCGACTACCAGTGAGACGCCGGCTCGTTTACCAGCGAGTTGCATCACATCTTCCTTTAACAACTCCGAGAATCAGGAGAGCAGTTGATTTCTGTGGTGAAATGTTTTCTCAGACGGCGTTTCTCGAACGTTTTAGCCCGAAGCAAAGAGTGGTCGTGTTTTCCAAAAAGAATTTCAGATTCTTCAGATTACGAGACAGTTTTCCGCTTCAGCTCAAGTCATCGTGGATGAACCTGAGTCAAGTTAAGGTCAGATTCTTTTCAGGATTGTGTCTATAGGTGTGATTAAATGTTTTTCAGACACTGAGTCTAAACATTTTTTATTAATGCAGCGCAGCCAGAGGTGCTTTAGATTAGAACCACTCAGGATTGATTCTTAGCCTGGTCCCTCCTACTTCTCTGAATCTTTAAAATAACTGCAGATGACGAAATCCTCAAAATGATTTACTCGTGTATTCCTCTACAAGGTGGAGAGCATCCTCGTCTCCACTCCACAGCCACGCCTGTCTGACAGCTTAGAAACAAACCAGACTAAGTTTTGTTTCATCTTTTGTTGCCACTATTTTAGAAAACTTGTTTCAACCAAATTTATATCAGAAAATAAAAATAAAAACTTTATAAATTATTTATCTTTAAAATTTAACATTCTGGGAATCATCTCAAGTCATTCACACACACACACACACACACACACACACACACACACACACACACACACACACACATACTCCCATATATACACAAACACACACACAGAAACGTGCTCACACACACACACACACACACACACACACACACACACACACACACACACACACACACACACACATAAACGTGCTCACACACACACACACACACACACACACACACACACACACACACTCAGACACATAACACACACAAAAACATGCATGCACACAGATACACACACACAAATACACACATGCACAAACACATGCATGCACACACACACGCATCCACCCACAAACACACACACACATTCAAATGCGCGCGCACACACAAACACACACACACACTCACACACTCACACGCACACACACATACATAAACACACATACACACACACACACACACACACACACTCACACGCATCCACCCACACACACCCACACATACACAAACACACACACACACACACACACACACTCCCATATATACACAAACACACACACATAAAAATGGTCACACACACACACACACACACACACACACACACACACTCAGACACATAAACACACACGCACACAGATACACACACACAAATACACACATGCACAAACACATGCATGCACACACACACGCATCCACCCACAAACACACACACATACAAATGCGCGTGCACACACAAACACAAACATATGCACATGCAGCCATGCACACATGCATGCACATGCACACTCATAAACACACACACACAAACATGCATGCACACAGATACACACACACACTTATATGTGCAAACACAAACATACAAACACACACATGCACAAACACATGCACGTACGCACACACACACACACACACACACATAAACACGTGCACGCATCCACACACAAACATAGTCACACACACGCACACTTATGCGCGCACGCACGTACACACAAACACATGTACACACACTAGAGGACCTGAACACACTCCTGGGCAGAAAGGCCCAGGGAGCAGCTTTGATTAATTCAGTGCCGTGCTCAAGAGCACATCAGCCATGATTGAGAGTGAAGCAGACCCTTTGCGTCCCACACTATACTATTGATAGTTTTATCACATTTTACTGAGATTTGTGTTTTAAGACAGCCAGATGGTGATTCCATCTCCAACTTCAGTAATCCCTCTTCTGTTACATTACCGACACTCATTCCTCGGGTCTCCAATTAAAAAACAAGTCAGAAATCTGCCATCTGCTTACTTCTGGGAGTCTTTCCCAGGCGTCGCAGGAGTGCGCTCAGACCAGTCTTCTCCCTTGGGGGCGTGGCACAGAGAAGCTCCGCCTTCCCCATGAGTGACAGCTCATCCCCCGCCTGCAGAGTGAAGCTGTAGGGCTCGCTGTCCTCACTGAACTCCCCCGAAACCACCTGGAAGACCCGTGTGCTTGTAAATATGCTCGCCATGCTGGATCATGACTATTCTGCTGGCTTCACATTAGTAGTAAACAAAGAAAAGGAATGGGAGTGGCTGGAGCTAACCTTGACACTGAAAGTGATCGCCTCCATAACAAAGACCCGATCAGGGAAGACTCCGGCAACTTCTTCCACACTGGAGAAATACTGGACCGGATCTCTGACGTCACGGTCTTCATCCAGTAACTTGAATTTACCTTCAGACGATGAAGAAGGAAGGAGAGGAGGGTTAAAGGAGAAAAACTGATACAGAAAAAGGACGGCAAAAAGAAAGAAGCACAGTATAACGATGAAGGTTTTCCTTCAGCATGCAGGTACTTTCACTACTGCGACCTATGACCTGGCACCAGCTCCAAGCCCATCAACAACCGAAAGAGTTGGCATAGCAACCAATAAAGGACCCCTATTTTCACGCAGAGCAGAGACACATCACCATGGAGACGCTCACACATACAACTCTTTCTCTTAGAACATCTCTCTCCTCCCCCGTCTGTAACCCTTCCACAGCAGCACTCTCTTAAGTTCTCTTGTTGAGGCTAACATTATTTCTGATGACTGTTTAATCAGACAAATAAAAAATGCATTTATGGAATGTAAAAAGGTTCCTAAAATCTGCACATTTCTCTGTTTGTCCACATTTAACTGTTTCAGAGAGGACCTCCCGTTTCGCTGAGTCGGACGTTTATGTGCACAGAAAAACATCTTAATTTTGTTTTGGAGGCAGAGCAGAATACAAAACTCCTCCATCGCCTACACCAGCACCAAAGACATTCCTGAAAGGAGCGATTTTCATCATCGCCTCCCTCTCCTCTCTACCAGCGACAGCCTGAGTGAACGGTTTAAAACAAACAAAGATTATTATGATTTAATGACACAAACAGTTACTGATCATAACTCAGATAGAAATATGTACACATAGAAGCTCTGGCTGCTTTTCCTAGATGACAAGGAGGACCGTGTTCATTCCTAAAACCAGTTTGGGACAAAGGACCATTCAGCTTTTCTGTCCTCCACACCTCTGTCTCTGCCTCTCACGGATGAGGACGAGGAGGATTCTGACTGACGAGAGATGAGGAGGAGGAGGGAGACATCCTGCTGTCCATCCCCAGGGGAGAAACCTATATTGCTCTCATCCTAGGCTTATTTAGACTTCCTGTATGAAGTCATCTCACAGACGTTAGCTCATCACTGGAGAGGATTTCCGATGCCAAAACACCTGCAGTAATTAAAAAGACATAAGTAATCTTCATGGGCATAAGCGCTACATCCGGTTTACAGACCTCTGCAGGTTGGGGCTTGGGGAAAAAGGGCTTTTTATCATTTTCATTAAATGTAAACATGCATGCTTTTTAAAATTGAGTTAGAAACAAAAAAAATCATAAAAATGTTAAGTTTTTTCTGATTGAATTGTTTCTATTTGAATAGATGTTGAACAGTTGAGCTTATCTTTCCAATCTTTGGTTTTTGTATCAGATAAAAAACGATAAAAACGTTTCATTCCTCTTTGTTGAGTTTTCATTTACAAGCTAATGTGTGTGTGTGTGTGCGCGCGCGTGTGTGTGTGCACATTCATCTCAAAGATTGCCAAGTAGAAGAGAGGGAGTGAGGCGAGAGTCTCACTGTTCCCTTTAAACTTAGCTGCAAGCAGCTCTACAGGCAGGCTATAAAAATGGCTGATTTACTGTAAACTTGTATTTTAATTAAAATTAGTCAAAGAAGTTCCTTTAAGGTGAAAGAAAAGAACGTTTTGTCTTCTTTAAGTTGCACTTGTCAAGCTTTTTCCTGTAGAAACTAAAAGTCTGCATGCTTCAGGTCCAGGTTACTCGTGTCTCCTAATGCAGTCCTGAATAAAGTCGTGCTGCTTTTATTTTGTTTTTGCAACTCTAATCTACTTCATTCGTCTTTTCTTATTATATTTGGAACATGCAGTAAGAAAACTTGTTTATGACTTCGACACTAAAAAAGTAAAATGTGTTAAATGACGATGATCTCAGCATCCCGAACAAACGTTCTTCCTTTCCTCCAAAACAGAGTCTGAGAGGCGGCGGGAGCGGGAGGTGACATCAGCGATGCATCAGTGGAGGAAGCAACAGAGAGGAGGCATTAAGATCCAGTTACACAGCAAATAATGTGACTGTACGGAGACGGAACAATGGGAATGTGCAGATGAGCTCCGGTGAGGTCATACCGACTAGACCCATTCAGCAGGAAGACCACAAGTCAGTGGCCAGGAGGAGCCAGGAGGAGGTCACATGGTAGCAGGTTAGATGAGTGATGCAGCAGCAAGTGTGTTTGAACTAAATGCTGGAAATGCATTACTTAGCCCTGCTAATTATTACTTTTATCCTTTTTAATGATCATAAATCTGTTTATTCACCTTGTTGTTTCCTGCAGAGCAGAATCAGAACCATAAACAACAATGCACCGACTGTCTTTGATATTTGGAGTTTGAAAACAAAGATCAAAAAATCGTGTTTTCAGAAAATCTTAAAGAAAAAAAAACAGCCAAGTCAACGAGCTGTAGCAGTGATCTGGAGTCAAGCTGACTCTAAAAGTTAACCAGATGTTCATCTAGTGGAGACTTTCTGACTGTTTCAGTAAAATCCATTTGATGGTTCTTCAGATATTTTACTTTTATATCTACATTCATAACAAACTAGCAAAGGCTCACCCTGCTAAACTCTCAGATTCCAACTTCTGGAGCAGCAGAACTTTCTGGTCAGTCCAAAAGTATCAACCTTAATCCGAGCCCCCAGGATCTGCTGCACGAAGCATGCAACCTACTTCCGGTCCGGCGTTTGTTTACATGAAGACCATAAAAGGAATGATGCCACCCATTAGCACTAATCCACTTTTTATGTCTTTATGAGGCGTAAACTATAGGAACACCAGCGGTCACGGCTCTGCCTACTGCACTAGAGGGGTGGAGGATGGCATGGAAATCTGGCCAGAGCTAACATTGGAGTAGCATTTTAGCTACTTTCTGGTGAGGTGATAAACAACCGTAAAAGATCTGAAGCTCGTCAGTACCTGGATAGTAAGGCTGGTCGTGTTTTGTTACAAAAGGTGAAACAAAGCCTTAAATCCCTCATCACCAAGCCTGGGTTATAGCTGCATCAGCATGTGTTATCAGCGTGTTTGATAATCTAGAAAGTTAAACACTGAGCTCTATTTTAATCATGTGTCTGCTTGTTAAAAGCATAATTACTTTTAGGTCTCAAATCAGGGATTAAACGTTTTAATTATTTTTATTTCAGGTTGAGAAGGCAGTGAGACAGGGAAAGACTGGGGGTCTCATATACAAAACGTTGCGTAGAATCCTTACTTAAGCCGTACTTAGGCTCAGCAAAGAAAATGTACTTACGCCAAGCAGGTTTGTGACTTATAAAACATGGAGTACGCACAGCTTCACGCTATCTCCGCTTTATAAATCACAAACTACCTAGAAATGTGCTCAGGTGTTTCTGGATTACATCCCGCCCTCGACACGCCCACTTTCTGCCATAAATGGTCAATGCAAAGTGCCTTGTGGATCTCGTGCGTATACATAAGCCGGCTCGTTGCAGCATTCACCATTAACGATGGCGACCGCGGATCAAGGAGGCAGAAATTGAGGCACCTGTGGGTGAGGTGGAGAAATGAACGGAAGTGCTTTTGCAAAACAAATAAGCGAAAATCCATGGAGTGGCACAGCGTTGCTGAAGCCGTCAATGCTGTGAGTTCTTCAGAGATCTGAGGCAGATATAAAAATATGGTCCAATCAGAATCCGATCCCCAGATTCTTGGGTGAGAGTCACGCACGCTAACCAGTCAGCCAAACGGACATCTCCCTTGGCCGAGTAGCCAGGGCGCATGATCAATCGGGTCACACTGACAGGACGCACACTGTGACTACGTTTACATGCAGCCAATATCCGGGTTATGATGGGGTTAAGGTCGGTATTCGGGTTTCTGAGTTGATCAGAATAACCCGTTTACAAGCAAACATAGAAAGAGTTACCCCTAACTTGCATAACTCGATTTAAATGCGGACGTTGGGGTAGCGTCAGGACGTATGGAATACGTCAAGACGCAATATCCGTCATTTCCGGTTCATTCTTTTCGGTTACCTTCTTGTATATTTCGCTGTCTCTGTACTTTCGGCCGTCAACGAAAGATATAATGTTCATACTTTTCACCAGATCGATGAAGACAGAGGTTTCCTCGTCACTCCAAAAGTGTGGTGCTGTGCCGCGACTCGCCATGTTGCTCCCAACTTGTTGTTTACTTCCGGTGTTCTGGCGCATACAAGACGGGGATATCCCGATATGCGTTTACACGACCAAACATTCGGGTTAGAAAAAGGTTACCCCAGGTGTAGTAACCGGGTTTTTAAAACTGCTGGGATGTGGGTAACTCTTAGTTCCTAGGAATGGTGCACCTGTGTATTTTTACCTCTGAGAACAACTTACAAGGCATTCATTCCTACTAGAGGCCGCTGCAAATGTATTATTCAAACGAGTGTACCACTCCCTGAACACTGAGCCTGAGCTTCAACAGCTGGAATTAACTATTAGACTTCCTCCACAGAAAACATTGAACAGTCCTTGAAGCTGGGATATGCTGCATTGTTAATCACATAATCAAACTAAACTAGCTTAAATATCAGAAAGTTAACCTGTGGAGAGGGGAGAAGGACTATTTACCTTTACCCCAGGGGAATTTAGCATTTTATGGAAAATGTGTATTCTTATAAAGGAGACTAAACTTTAACTGAGTTTTTTTTAATTGCGGGGGGGGGGGGGGGGGGGGGCATGTTAATGAATGATCAATGCCGTAGTGTTCCATATCCATGCATGTGGGCGTGCACGCTCTCACCCTGGTACTGCAGCGGAATGTCGATCTTGGGTCCGATCACGTAGTGTCCTTCCTCTAAGCTGTGGGCCGTCACCGTGGTCCACTGACGGCAGGAGTGCAGAAGCACCACATCCTCCTCAGACAGACCCTCCACACATTCACCTGCAGCACCAAAGAAGGAGTTCAACCAGAGCCTCTGGTGGGAGGTGGTTTTACTTTTTATGTCTCACTTGGGAATTCGGGGAGGGAAAGTGTTAAAAGGCCCTCACATGCCCACACACGAGCAATCAGGGCTCAGTGTTCATAATTATCAGCATCAGTGACGGTTCACCACCCCCTAACCTATACTCATCCAGACCATTGCAGCTGGCAGCCTGTTATCTCACACACACACACACACACACACACACACACACACACACACACACACACACACACACACACACACACACACACACACACACACACACACACACACACACACACACACACACACACACACAGTGCTGCAGCTTGCCTACGAACACAACTGCATTGATTTCCACTGATGGCACAGTGGTACAATTCAATCAGACAGCACACTCAGCTGTAGCTGCAGGAATGTAAACTCGTGACCAAAACTGGAAGAAGTTTGAATAAAATCCGGTTCAAATTGCGACAGTTTTCCCAGATCATGAATTATCAGCGCGATTCCCACAATCTGGAAAGCCTGGATGACCTGTTTCAGTGCGGAAGTGACGCACAGTCACGGTTCGCTTCACTGCTCAGTTGATGTATGAGAATTTCGTTTGAAGCACTTGTCACAATGCGTCTGGCTAATCTAATCATTTAATATCTGGAGCATTCATGATGCTGCTGGAAACTCCCCATTAAATGACGGCGTCACGCGGCCCGACTCCCGATGCATACAGATCTGTTGGTGAAGGGACTCAAATCGCTTCCATGTCGTAAATAATTAGTCCAACTCTCACCTGGGCTGCGTAACCGTGCAAACGCTGCAGGGTAACTTTAGTGCGGTAATTAAACACCCGCTGAACAGAACGCGCGCCTCCAGATGCGTCATTTACGGATTTCTGGTGCGCACTTTAGTCCAACCAGGAAAAGTTGGAGACTTGCCCCGTGTTCGCTGCTCGTTAGTATTCACCACATTCACCGACAGATTACAGCATTTACATATGAAAAGAATTGAGCAGCACTTCAGCAGCACAACAGACACTTTGTGGCTTTCTAGGCCTCCTGGACCTGGAACAACTTTGGCCATGACACCCGTCAGCCGTTCCCAAAGTAAAGTAACCATATCTGCTGCTGAAGGAGCAGATAAAAACTATAACATACACGCAAAATATAAACACAGGTCACGTTAAGACGACGGCATTATAAATACAGCAAGGTGGAGAGATTTAAGCGACAAAATAACGGAAATACAGCCATACAGAGATACAGTCCTTTCAAAATAAGAGCAAGCAATGTGGTTTCTGCAATTGAGCCACTCATTCTAACTAAATATCTTATATTTAATAAAGAAAAAAGAATTAATAATAGCTACCTAACTGCTGTATGAAATTAACACTAGTTTAATTTGATCCCACATAATAAAAACCATTTGTTTTTCTTAATTTTTTAACAATTTTAAAAGGCAGAAGTTCCAAGAGCAGCCAGTTTATTTAATATTTTTTTATTTTATAAGTCTAGTTGGGTATTAAATACTTAAATGACAAAAGTTGATATTTTTTCTAGAATCAGCCTAAAACAATTATTGCGTTTTTCAAATTACAGTTGATTAAGCAATACTATATGTGAGTAACTGGCTTTCATTTAGCAGTTCTGCTTTAACGTAGACCTATCAGACTAACCGGTTTACAAGTGAATTTCAATAGTTGATTATTTTTCACTTTTCTCCCACAGCGTCGTTATTTTTATTATTAACCTTTTGAAAGCCAATACATTTATTTTGAAAGTCACAGGCGGAAACGGTTTCTCGCCTATTTTGACATCTTTAAAGTCTTCCAGTTAAACGCCTGCACGTAAGAGTCATAATCTTCCAGTTTAATGCAAACACAACAACACAAACACTTCTTCGACGACGCTGCACGCTCCGTTAACCGTCGTTTGCTGTTTTAGTCGTAATAACTCTAATTCTAGTGTCGGTAATAGAGAGTTTTCTGACGGTGGAAAAGTTTGAACCGGTGCAGAAGCACCGCACAAATGTCCGGTTCTTACCGTGGGCCAAACGGACCAGGGTGGGCAGCCGGAACTTGCCGACCACCGCGTCCAGCGGCAGCCCCAACGGGCTCCAAGTGATCTCCGACAGGCTCACCGACAACTTCTCCATCCTCCCGGGGCATCACGGTACCGGAGAGAGCAGTGACGGTAACGGTGATGGTAGTAGCGATGGTGACGATGAAGAGGAGGACGGTGGTGGGATGACGGCAAAGAGTTTCGCCTTGTTTGAACGTAGAAGAGAGCGTAGTTCTCGGTCGGTGCGCGCGAGCGGAGTGAGGGCGCGCGAGCCTCCCTCGTCCACCTTTCGCCCGCTGCCTCCCCCACACATCCGAGTCAGCTAGTCAAACGTTTACGTGCGGCTAACCAGCTACTCTCCTGGTTACTAAACTGTGAGTAGATGGTAGAAAAGGCCGGTTATCTGGGCATGTTTTGGAAAGGCTTCCAGATCTTTTTCCTGAAGCTTCAGGATCATAGAAACTAAAGTCAGAGCAGATATAATAAACATTTCAGGCAGACTGATGAATGGTGACAAGATGCAAACAAGCAAAACAACTAAATCCAGGAAAAATAAAGAAAATCTGAGATAAAAGGCGAGAAAACTGATGTGAGTTTGAAATAATCAAGACAAAGTTTGGCTACTTTTAAGTGAAAACTAAGCAAGAGTTAGGACCGCGTGTGATAAAATGAACATGGAATGTTCTCAGAGAAATGTGGAACTTTGATTAGTGAAGGGATTTTTATGCATTTGTCTTAGAAGATGGTTAGTCAGCCCCATGCTTCCTTATGGGAATAGTTGTGTGTAGAATCAAACAGGCCAGGTTAGAAGAGATAACAGCTGAATCGGCCTCCATACCAAAAACAACAGAAACAAACTTTTCAAATCTTAGTCATTCAAAAACCAAACAGCTCCTGGATGTCATCACCCGGTGTTCATGGATGCAGCTGGACTACCTCAACCAGAGCTACTCAGTACGGCTTTCTTTGTTCCAGCAGGGATGCATTGCAGAGCTTACTTACAATTCTATCTTCTTTTCCTGATTTATGGAAGCTAAGAGGAATGCTTCAACTCTACAACTCCATGTTGGTAGCCAATTATTTTAAGCACGGAATTCACAAAGACTTTTAATAAATCACAAAGTTTTGATGTTTCCATTCTGTTTGGAAATGTGGTACGACATAAGAAGTCAGACGAGTGCACTGTGCTGTAGAAAAGAACCAAACCTTTTACAGAATAACTTGCAACAGAACCAAGCATGGACCAGACTTTAACGACGTAGCTTAACAGTGGAGTAAACATTTAACAGCTTGCCAGTTGCAAAATAAATATAACACATCAAAAATCAACCATTTGGTTAGTCTTATCATTTTAAGGGAGAAATTGCGCAGGATGTCTACAGTTCACTCAATCCTAATAGATTTTTCCAGAATCACAAACCACACCGACACCCACTCAGCAACATGCAACAGGGAGGTTTATTCCCTGTTCAATTAAACACAAACCCAAACTGTGGTTTTTTGGTTATGAATAGTTCACTCATTCCTAAAATGTGGATAACACTGAAAAACACACGTGCAGAAAGACCAGCTACTCTACAGGAGACATGTAATACGTGTGAAAGCTCTAGATGCACATATGTAATTACATCTTTAAGGCAGAAAGGTGCTTTAATCTCCACAAAAGTAACTAATAAAAATGCTATGTAATCATTGCAAACAACAGAATTTTATAGTAAGTGTCTGCCATAGTAATAAAAAGAAATAAAAAGACCAACATTTGGGATAATAATTTTATTTCATCCATATTAACAAAAATTCAAATAGGAAGATGGATTTTAGGATTGAAGAACTTGGGATGTATATCACAGAAGAGGCGTTCCGCATGATGGAAAAGTTAGTGTGCAGGCTCTGAAAAACAGAAAAAACAATTAAATGATGGCAATCTCCACACAATCAAGCAGATGCATTCTAGGAGTTTATTCCAGGAAAAATTGTTTATTTTTTTTCCCCCCAGAAAGCAACTTCAGATTCAGTGACATCTAGTGGTTAATAAATGCAACTGCAAGATCATGTTCATGTTAAATGATAAATGAGCCGCACTTGTATAGCACCTCTCAGAGTAAGGACTCCAAAGCACTTTACACTACAGTGTATCATTCATCCATTCACACACACTTTTGATGAGCTATGATGTAGCCACAGCTGCCCTGGGGCGCACTGACAGAGGCGAGGCGATGTTATGGTATAAATGAGTAGCCAATAACAGTATATCAGGTGAGACTTTGGGATATTCAGCTGAAATTTCTACACCAGCTGCTGCAGTTCTACATCTAAGGCATAATAATACATCATGAATTACAAATGTTAGACAACTTACTGCTCGTCACAGCCTTCTTACCTAGAAAAAACAAACGAGACATTAGTCACAACTAAAGATCTGTAAATAAGTTCTGAACAGATCATGGTGCTTTTATTTAGAACTAGATTATTTTAGCTAAAAACCATTTGTGACCTAATTATAGAATAAGAGACTGTTTTGATAGAAGTTGAATGACAAATTCATGCTTACATTGAAGTCACTGTGCAAACTGGTTGTCTTAGATTTGGAACATGAGCTAGAATTAAGGTCTAGGAGCATCTTTCCTGTTTTAATATCATCACATAAGTAAGTTTCATTCATTTGGAACAACAGAGATCAAACTCACCCCCGTAGGAAATTTTGTAGTAGAGGTATGCCATGATGCCGACTCCAACCCACAACTCCTGGTGTACCTTAGTGTAGTATGGCCTCATTAGAGACCACCAATTAGTAAAAGCACGGCCAGCCATCTATGGGGAGATTAAAAAATAAAACTAAAGTACTTCATCGTTTGTATATTAAAGCAAAACCTCAGGGTTCCTTTAACACAGACAAGAAAACTTCATTCTGGTTAACGCACCAACATCCTATCTTGAAAAAAGATAGATAAGGTCCTATCTTTAAAAGCCAGATATCATGGAAGAACAAACATTTTAATATTATACTCATCACAGCATGCACTTTTTTATTTCATTTATTTATCCTTTAAGTAGAGAGCTTCTGCTGGTGGACTCAGGGCCTTGCTCTGACTGACCCGTAGCTGCAACAGTTTATCTGACTGCCTAAACACAAGAAGTTGGAAAGAGATCAAAACTATTCTGAAAGTTATATGAAAATTGTTTCACCTTTGTTGAATGCAGGTCTCACGCTGTTTGTGCTAACGCTAACAATAAAGTTACAGCCAGATTATAACTTCTCACCTTAAACTGATGTCCCTGTTACTTTTAGACAACCTAATCTGTCAAGACAATCCTTAAATGAACAAATATGCTCTTTATATTATCAAATATGTAACAAACTTAACTGGCTAAAGCTAACCAATGAAATAAACTATGACGTGTTTTGGCTAACCACTGGTAGCATTTAGCTAAAGTGCTAGCTAGGTGTAGCTGCCATCTAATCGCGGAACGAAACCACTTCTTCGTCTGAAATCGGCATCTGGACTTGAATTGTGTTGTTCGGTTATGACAACCGTCTCTGTGTATATTGTACTAAAACATATAACTTACATTTATCACGCTGCAGTTGGAAGGTCAAGACAGCCGCTGCTGCTAAACGTCAAAGTCGACTCGTAGGGAGAAGCGAGTTCTCCGCTTTTCTCGGTGTTGTAATGCAGTCCTGATTTGGTGCGTAGCGCCATCTAACGATGAGAACATGTACAGCATCTAAAGAGGCGTTGGCTTAACCTCTCTTCCTAAACATGTAATTTTCTCCTTTTCTTGATTTTGGATCTGAAAATAATGAGGGTAGTCCTAAACTATAACAACCTAATATTAATTTTAAAGCATGTCTATTATTTTAAGTAGTTTAATCACAGTAGTGCAGGAATAACAAATCTGTAAATAAATAAATCCTCCATCCTTAATGTTTGAGCATATCGCTCATATTTTAAATTACTCTAAGCGGTGTCTAATAAAACTAACAACTTTATTTTATCCTGTGGAGGGCTTCATCTCTAATTTCATAAAATAGATTTTTTTTAAATTGAATTGAATATAGTTTGTATGTTCGCTGGCTGCTGTACTGACATTGAGTATCTTGTTGAGCCTCTGCCAACATCATCGAGGCGAGAATCTGAGGTGTGCAGCTAGACACGGACCACCGGCGCTCACCAGAGAGAATGAGTAAATAAAACTCTGGCACACATCCCAAGGGTAAAAGAGGACATTGTGTATCATGCTGTTCTGTTAACACTCACAAAAACTTTCACAATTAGACATTTTATCTCTGGACAAAACAGAAATAGATCACTGTAATGGTTTTATTTCAGAACATAAGTTGCAAACATGTAAAAAACTAACTTCCCAGTAGGAGCTTTGGCATAAAATCCCCACATATAGAAACCTGAAAGTTTGCTCCAGTTCAAAGGTGTTTCTCACTTCCACTTTTCTCAACTCTTCCAGTTTTTATCTGCAGTTTAGGAAAAAGAAATCTCAGCAGGCACTAAACTTTTGCTTTCTGTATCAAACATCGAGTGACTCCTCCACATCTTTGTGTGAGTCCTGCAGAGAGAACTTTCTGCTCTTTTCTGTCCTCGTGCTCTGATCGGCAGGAGGCACCTTGTTCCTTTATGAGCACCTAAAGGTCAGACCCTGATGTAGGCGCTCAGCGCTGAGAATCAACAGTTGTGCCAGTTTAAAAGGACATCAGAGCTTCTGCCCTACAGCCCTGCTTTAGGCAAGATTAAGACGTGGGATTGGTTTGTACCAAACAACTTTCTGTGTTCCTTTTTCTCTTTAGGTGTTTGCATGTGTGTGCTTGTGTCTGGTAACACGAGGGTGTGTGTAAGGATTCCTGACATGACTAATCAGCTATTATTGTTTGGAAACGTTCAGTTTTTGTTGTAACCGTTTCCCAGATGGAGGCTTAACTCATCTCTGGAGGTTGTTTTTGTGCTGTGTTTGGAGGCGACATGGCTTCAGGTGGAGCGGAGAGAGACGACGGAGGAATTTCGATGGACATCGACGATGTGCACATGCTCCTCCAAGGTCAGACGTGTGTGTATTAATGTAGATGTGGAAAGTGACTCTGCAGCCAGAATCAACCATTCATCAAGTTTGCACTAACGTAAAGACGGTCAGAAAACATGCACTTATTATGATGCTTGCGTTTTGTAATTAACAAAAAATATCTGAATTTCTAAAATAGGATCTTCTTAAAATGTAAAAACTCAGCATTATGTTAATTTTCTGGTTAAAATGATTTTGTTAAGGCATAAAATCTAATTTTAGTTCAGTTGTTTGGGCATATAACTTTTTTTATTTTAATTTTTTACCGTGTCCTGTCTGGCTGTGAAGCAAACAGAATTGATGTCTGAATGCTGGTGGCAAGCCTTACAGATTTACTCTCAGGTGGAGCATCAAAGCGTCTGCTTTTAATGTCGCGCCTGATACTTAAAACTTTATTGTTATTGTTTTTGAATGCTTTGTAATTCCGACCTGACATGGAGTCAGAGGTGAAAGAGAAAGGAAAAGACAAAAGATGGGGGGGGGGGGGGGTCCACAAAAATGAACAATAATGAACAAGAGTCTGCTTCTAGACCTGCAGAAAGAGAAAGAAGAGAAATGAAAATATATAAAAATAAATAAATTAAAAAAATGGGACACACAACAATACAACAGGAGCAAGCTATCCTGCGTTAAGAAATATACAGTCAACACTGTTTAACTGAACAATCACACGATAATAAATCACAGTGCATTTAGTGCCAACCATAGCCTTAAGAACGTGCCCAAGCCCATACTTATGAGAGCACCATGTGTGTGTACACGCGCTTGTTTATGTAAGGTTTCTCTATAAAAGTGTCCAATAGAGAGTGTGAGGGGCCACACATCTGCCCCCTAAAGATGTGTAGAAGACGGAGGGAGCTCCAAGTCCCAGAGATCCAGGTGCTGCCCTAGAACACTAGCCTAGTGAACTAGACCAAATTCTTGCTTTGCAAAGTTTGGTCTAGGCACGCTCTGGTTAGCCAATCACAACTCTCTAGAGGGGTTTCAAACACATAAAGAGCTGTGATTGGTCCATAATGGTGGGCCAATCATAGTGCTCTATCTGCTTAGTGAACAAATCACAGAGCTTTATCCGCTTTGTGGGCCAATCAGGGCACTCTATATGCCTGGTGGGTGGGATGATGCAACAGAGTGAAACAAGAGTATGTCACATTCATTGTCCAGTAGCCTGTGGAGATCATTTGAAAGACAACGGTAGAACCCGCCCCACAACCGAGAGCCGCCAATGGAGCGTGGCCAGGCTACCAGAACACAGGAACCCCAAGGAGGCTGCAACCAGAAAGGCCCCAGACCCCTCGAGAGGCACAGAGGATCATCCCGAGGGGCCACAACCAGCAGCCGGCAGAGTCCCGGGAGATATCAGCGGCAAGCCCACAGGCCCGCCCGCAGCCTCCCACCCCCTAGACGGCCGAGCCCGGGACCCAGCGACCCGGGACCCAGACTCCACCAGGCAGCCACCGGGATTGATCAGGCAGACGCAAAAAATCTTAAACCCCCTGACCCGGGAGCCACGAACATTCAGGCAGACCAGGGCACCGCACTCCACACCAGGTGTGGCAGGGGGAGGGGACATGAAGATCTATATAATCAAAAGAAGTCCCAGGAGAAGGGACATATACAGCCATACACAAACAGTCACACACTCCCGCCCTCATGCTCACACATACACATACAACCAAAGACTTACAAAAATGCACGCCGGACACACACTCATGCTCCCCATACACCCCCTATTCACTCTAGTCCCAGTACTGCTGCACACTGGGTACAACCATCACCGGTAACCAGAGTTTGACCCTTTCTGCTGGGGTGCTGATGAGCAGGCTCCCCCGCCCAACACTGAGCACAGCAACCCACCACCCCAGACCCCAACCGGACGGCCAGATCTCCCTCCTAGCCTCCAGCCCCAGGAAGCCAAGCAACAACAGAGGTGTGCTCTGTGTGTTTGGGCATATAACTTAAATGTATGCAACTCTTGCAAAAGCAATGATGGTTATATTTATTTTCAAATTGCAATGAGAAATATAATAATTTTATGATTAAAACGACTCCAACACTTTATAACTGAAATGTTCTGCAATGACTAATAAAGTTGTAGTGTTGTAAGGCTGTTAATCTGTCTACCTCTAATATTTTAGTAATGTTACTGATATTGAAAGTAGTTTTTATTTTACAGTTCCACTACAGATTATGCACAATTAACACGAATAATATTCATTTTTATTCACCACCTGAAATCACAATAAGATCATTTGACTAAAGGAACAAAAATACTTTAAAAAAGCTACATTTTAAATGAAAGAATAAAACATTGAAATTTAATTTAAAGTAATAAATTAATAAATGGTGTTTGACCAAAGTGCCTTCCTCATTTTCTGTAAAGAATTGCAGAAAAATGAACTTTTTTTCTGCGAAAATCCTTAAAAAAAATATATATATATATATATATATATATATATATACAAATATATCTTATCTCTGTCTCTTTAAAAATAGGAAAAATCAAAGTTGAAAGACTGACTTCCTTAAACATGGATGCACTCAAAAGCTGCATATTCACAAAATCATAAGCAAATTTAAAAAAGGTGTTTTTACATTTATATTTCACAGTAGCTTACCCATCAAACCAGACCTCTGTGAGCATACAGTTGCCCTTTTTCAGTGGCTTGTGCAATAAAAGTTCTTAAAGAGGCACCACCTTCTACTGTTTGTTCTTTATGCACACAGGGTGGAGTAGAGTAATTATAGAGGCTACCTGCCCCGGCAGGCTAGACAAACATCAGACAACATGTGATATCCAGTCTGTGGGGAGAGAGAGAGAGAGAGAGAGAGAGAGAGAGAGAGAGAGAGAGAGAGAGAGAGAGAGAGAGAGAGAGAGAGAGAGAGAGCTTCTCTTGTCTTCAGTTATTCAAAACTTTATTATGCAAGAGTTTAAAAGTCTCTAGGAGATAAGATGTGTGTGTGTGTGTGTGTGTGTGTGCGTGCGTGCGTGCATGTGTGTGTGTGTGCGTGTGTGCTTCAGTTTCCATGTCTGTCTCTGTCTTGGAGGCTATCCCATGTTGAAGTCAGATCCTGGTTCCTACTTTTAGCGTCAATTTGCAGGTTGTTCAGAAGGAAATAAGAAGTTTATTTTGTTTATATATTTGCTGTTTAAATGGAAACTTTCATAATTAAATAACCTTACATGGACACATTAAGCAGTTATTATAACAATGGAGGCTGGAAAGGTCTGTTTCTCCGGTGTGGGTGAGTAGCTAATGATCTGCTACGCTCCCTTTTACAGCCGTGCATCCAGCCGGGATCAGTTTCGAGAGCGAATGTGTCTTAAAACCAGAGATGAACAAAAACAGTTGAGCCGCATAAAGTCACCCTTTGTTGTGTTTCGGTCATTCTCCTGCATGTGAATTAACTCCAGTTATTTCCGTTTTAACAGTGGAGCATGAGCAGATTCAGAGAAGGACTTTCACCAACTGGATAAATGCTCAGCTTGCAAAGGTACGCGATGATGTTTGTCTGATGATCATAACCAGATGCCCACGTCCCCAAATTAGATTTGAAATTGCGGATGGAAGTAACAGGATTCACTGTGATTTCTTATGACATCTTAAGAGTATTCATGCATCATCAGCATGGATTCTAAAGCAACACATTTCACATATAAACAGCTGTAATCTTCAGACAGTAACACCGAAGCTGCAGATGTGGGCATCGTCATGTCTTTTCTGGGCTATCAGCTGTAGAACGGAAACACGCTGACTCACTGATCAGACATCAGCTCATCAGAAAGAGACATTAAGCTGCTGACAAGGATCAGAAGTACAAATAGTGCTGCTTCAGCGGTGCAGAAACACTTGTAACATGAGCCCAGCCACCTCTTCCTAACCTCACGACTGCACCCAGACTGTAAAATCACTCGTTCATAACCTCCCATCTGTTGTCGGAGTCCTCTGATGAGCCTGAACTGGACAATTGACATGTCTTCTAGGATGTGGAATTTCTTGGTCTTATCATAAAAAAATTACTGTTTTTATCCAGTAAATGTTAATATAACTGGTTATTATTTATGCTGATTACAGTGAAAGCTCATCAGCTTCTGTTTATTTTTATTTTGTACCATGTGACATGAAGGATCCCCAAATGGATTTCTGTCCCCTTAGGAAAAACGGTAAAATATAAATTAAAGGCGGACAATGAATACTCTGTACGTGTTGGGGATGACGCTTAGCTGCCATGACACCAAATTTTACCATCAGATCTACAAGTATGATTGAATTTGTGCAATTTATGCTTATTTTCTTAGCCACAGCTGCCATCTTGGATTGAGATGATTCTAAAAAAGAGTCAGTTCTAGATGTGGATCTAATACACATGCAAACACACACACACACACACACACACACACACACACACACACACACACACACACACACACACACACACACACACACACACACACACACACACACACACACACACACACACACACACACTTGAGTATAATCTAAACATGTTTCTGCTGTTAAAATCAGTGACTCAGTCAATTTGTGTCGATCAGCTGATCTGAAATCAATAAAACCCTTGATTTCCTCGATTGTTTCAGAGATGCCCTCCTTCATACGTGTCGGACTTGTTTTTGGACCTCCGAGACGGTTTGCTGCTGCTGGACCTGTTAGAGGTGATGAGCGGCCAATCGATGGTGAGAAAAGATCCCAAATGCCTCTCAGAAATCCACGACGAGCCACTGTTCCGGTCTGAGAAGGTCTAGAATGCAAACGACTAAATCCTGTGCTGATGTACGTCGTTCCCACAGAAAAGACAGAGGGGCCGAGGGCTTTTTCAGCAGAGGGCGAACATCGAGGCAGCACTGGACTTTCTCAAGAAAAAATCTGTAAGTTTTCACTCACAAAAATTATTGCAGTTATAAATTACCATTATTTTACCAAAATATGTTTATTTAATGTTGGAAGGTGGAAAAAAAACTGCAAGTCCAGATCCTCTGCAGATATATAAAACTTTACTTCCTGGTTGTTTGGCGTAGATCAAACTGGTGAACATAAACATCCCAGACATCATAGACGGTCGGCCGTCCATCATTCTGGGCCTCATATGGACCATCATTCTCCATTGTCACGTGAGTTTCAGCTCAGCCAGAGAAACATCCTGACAACTAGAATTTCGAGGAAATGAAACACTAAATCCTTTCCTACCTGTTTCAGATTGAGGAGCTAGCCAGCGTGCTCTCCTTCAGCTCCCATCATTCCTCTCTGGACTCGCTGGCTAGCCTGGACTCCTCCAGCAGCCCCATTCCAACCAGTCCAGCGCCGGCTTCACCGCTTTACAGACGCTTTCGCATTTCTGCCAAGAAGACGCTGCTCATGTGGGTCAGAGACCAATGCCAAAAGTAGGTTCAGCATCCACATTTCACAATAAACCTGCTAGCTTACTTTAATTTCCTTGGACAGACTCTGCTCACAAGAATTAAAGGAACACTTTTTTATTGGGCCTGGCATGATATCAGTTAAACATGTCTGATAATTACCTGGTTGATTAAGCAGCCGAGGGCATTGTTAATCACTGTCAGCTGTATTGGTGTTCATGGACTTAACGACAGGTGCACTAAAATGGCAACGATTACAAAACCCTTAAAACAGGACTGGTTTAACATGTAGAGGTCATTTTGAGTTTCTCCCTCTTGATCGTTTTCGGCTGGTTTTCCACTCGTGCTGGTTTTGGCTCTCTACTGGCAGTATGAGGTGATTCCTTAACCCTGCAGAAGTTGCACAGCTTGTCCAACTTCTCCAGGATGGTACATCCACAAGTGCTGCAGCAAGAAGGTTTAATATGTCTCTCAGCACAATCTCCAGAACATGGAGGAGATTTCAGGAGACTGGCGGTTATTCTCGGAGAGCTGGACAGGGCCGCAGAAGGTCCACAACCCATCAGCAGGACCGATACCTGCTCCTTTGTGCAAGGTGGAACAGGCTGAGCACTGCTCCTGCCCTACAGAATGACCTCCAGAGGGCCACTGGTGTGAATGTCTCCACCCGAACAATCAGGAACCTTCATGAAGATGGCCTGAGGGCCCAACGTCCTGTAGTGGGCCCTGTGCTCACTGCCCAGCACCGTAGAGCTCGACTGGCATTTGCTCAAGAACACCAGAACTGGCAAGTCCGCCACTGGCGCCCTGTACGTTTTACAGACGAGAGCAGGTTCACCCTGAGCACCTGGGATAGACGTGAAGGTGTCTGGAGAAGACAAGGAGAACGTTATGCTGCGTGCAACGTCGTTCAACATGACAGGTTCGGTGGTGGGTCAGTGATGGTCTGGGGAGGCATATCCATGGAGGGACGCACAGACCTCTACTGCCTAGGAAATGGTGCTCTGACTGCCATAAGGTATCGAGAGGAAATCCTTGAACCCTTTGTCAGACGCTACGCTGATGCAGCAGGTCCTGGTTTTCTCCTAATGCACAACAATGCCCGGCCTCATGTGGCAAGAGTATGCAGGCAGTACCTGGAGGATGAAGGAATTGAAACAATTGAATGGCCTTCACGATCCCCTGACTTAAACCCAATAGAACATCTGTGGGACATTATGTTTCGGTCCATTAGGCGGCGCCAGGTTGCTCCTCAGACTGTACAAGAGCTCAGGGATGCCCTCACACAGATCTGGGAGGAAATACCACAAGACACCATCCGTTGTCTCATTAGGAGCATTCCCCGACGTTGTCAAACATGCACACGAGCTCGTGGGGGCCACACAAGATACTGAAAAGCTATTAGAGTTGCAGAAATTAAGTTTTTGAAATAATGGACTAGCCTTTCACATCTTCATTTCACTCCAATTTTAGGGTGTCTACACAACTGAGCCCTCTGTAGGCTGATAACTTTTATTTCCATTAAAAGACTTGGCATCCTTTTGTTCCTAAGACATTGCCCTGTCGTTATTTGTATAGATATCCAACTTCATGTTGAGACCTGATGTATCTAATGTGTTTCTTTAAAATGTTCCTTTAATTTTTGTGAGCAGTGTATTACGAAAAATGTTCTGCTGCCATCTGAACCAACTGCCTTTATAAACACTCCAAACAGGAAAAAAATCCATCCAACCATTTCTGCCGGTGTTTGATTTGAGGAACTATGTGTCTAAAATTTTTAAAAGTTCCTGTTTGTGATGTCACAAACGAGGAAATTAATATAGAACCATCTCTCACATGCAAGAGAGACAGAGCAGCTGCTGGAGGAGCAGCAGCTCTACTTCAAACCCCTTCCAGATATTGGAGCTTCTCAGCTTATAGTAGCCTGAGTGGGGGTGGGGGGTGGGTAGGTGTGGCCAACTTCAGCTTGTTTTCTTAAAGTGACAGAGCCTTGAAACGGCTCATTCTGGGTGGTACCGAAACAGTCAAAGATAAAAATGCTGAACTCGTTTTGTGTGAGAAGGATTTAGCGCATCAAGGATAAAACTATTATATATCATAACATGAACAATGACAGACTTGAGGCTGTCTCTCTGTCCAGGGTTAATTGCTCTGTCAGTGTGAAGGACTTCAAGTCAAGCTGGAGAAGTGGAGAGGCCTTCTTGGCCATCCTGTGTTCCCTCAGACCCGATCTGGTGGATCTCTCACTGGTCCAGTCCAGAAGCAATCAGGAGAACCTGGAGGAAGCGTTTCACTTGGCTGAGAAGGAACTCCGCATCCCCCGCCTGCTGGATCCTCAAGGTGAATCCAAAGCTGTCCTGTTTATGGAAACAATGTTTACATAAATGTATGCAAAACAGATATTTATAGTTTTTAGAATGCAAACACAGCAACAACGACGTGCCATCTGACACCCTGTTCCTCCTCAGATGTGGATGTTAAAGATCCAGATGAGAAGTCCGTTATGACCTATGTGGCCCAGTTTCTACAGTATTCCAATGACATGCCAGCACCGGATGACCGCCTGCAGGTTAGCAAGTAAACTGTTATAATTCGAGTGTTGCAGGTCATCCCTTTCTGAGCATGAAAAATCATTTTTGAACCCTGCTCTGGCCTGGTGGTGGTGCAGCTGCTTCCTGTGGTTCAGCCCTCTGTTTCCTCACCTGCACGCTTCAATCCAGCTCCATCTGTCTCGCCGCTACACCAGGTACTCGCTGCCCTGTCTCCAGCTATGTTTGTGGGCATCTTTAATGCCAATCCCACAAACGCAGGCTGGTGGTTGACAGCTTCATTTATGAAACTGCAGGCGTCTCCATCGGAAGTCTGCAAAACTCAATCTAATAACACGTGCATGACATTAGGTTGATGAATTATCCTGAGGAATCTTTAAAGTTATGATTTTATTCAAATTTTATGCAACTTTAATAGATGCTGACCTCTGGAGGGTTGCTGCTCATGCATAAGGTTGTGACTGAGTGGCAGGATCTCCAGGACTTTGATGCAGAACATCAGAAGAAGTCTCCTCTGCAGCATCTCAGCACGTCGTGCACGCAGGGCAGGACCTCCGCTGCCCTCATGCATAGCCAGGTGAGTTAACCGCAAAACAGCATCAGCTTTGATCAGCTGATTTCTTCAACTTTGTTCTTTTTTTTTCTAGGGAATTATTAGGAGGTTTACTCCCCAAACTCAGGGATGTTCCGAAGAGCGGCAGCCATTTGAAACTGCCTCTCAGGCACACATAGGTCTAGATACAGGATGTTTTGTTCTGGCCAGAACCAAATATGTGGACCAGATTGGAAATGTTAGCCTGCAGGATCCTACAAAGCTGCACACAATCACAGAGGATAGACAAGCCATTGTTGCACCCCCCGCAGCGAGTCGCTTTCAACCTGTAGCCCAAACTGAACGAGAAGCGGAATCTGAGACGATTTCTAAACCTCAAGCTTCAACTCATCATCCTCCTAAAAGCCCCTCGGTTTTTGGATCAACGTCTCTAGAGAGTCTAGTCGTGTCTGCACCGTCAGCTGGTTTATCAGCCCTGCACGCTCAAAATATCAGACACGAGTTCAGAGCAGCAGAACTGAAAACTTCTCAGCGCCCTGCTGCTCCACGGCCACCGGTCGTGATCCAGAGTGAAGTCCAGTCAAAGGCCCGGTCCATGGCGAGGAGCAGACTGGAGAAGAGCCGGCTTCATCTGCAGAGACGCATCCAGCAGGCCACGAGGTTGTTCGGTGGCAAAGAGTTGACCGAGTCACAAGTCAAGAAGAAGCAGGTAAGAGTTGCAGCAAATAAGAGCGTCTTTATCCAAAACTCAGGACACTTTCTTGGCTTCGTGTTCTGTCTTGCTGCCAGTTTTGTTTGTGTGCCTTTGTCCAGCTGAACGTTTTTGTGTGCAGAAAGCTCTAAAACTTCTGCAGCCTGCCTCGCTCGCAGAGTTCCTGAGTGCAGTGGAAGCTTTTGGGGCTTTCTGCTCAGGACCTCAGCTGCAGGACTTGATGCTCGTCTCTGACTCAGTCCGAACCCAGTGGGAGGTAGGACCAGAACCGAACACAAAATTACCAAATCGTTTGTGTGAGCTTGTCTGCCTGTCTGGAATCGTTTGCACCTTTTCCTCACAAACGCTCGCCTGAAACACGTGTCTGCTCATCCATGTTGCGTGCAGGACGTGTGCAGAGAAATGGCTGCCTTTGTTCACAGCATCAAGTCTAAAGTCAGAGAAGAAAAGCAGCCATTTTCTGTTTTGCAATGTGAAAGGTTTACTAACGCTGACCAGACTGACCATGAGCAGCAGCAGGTACTTCCTTATCATCACCTCAATATCTAACTGCTCTACAGATTCTAGAAGATGACAACTACCATCGATTTCCCTGATGCTTCTCCTCCTCCCTCTTCCAGATTGCCGCCCAGGGGTCTTCACCTGCTGAGGAACCTTTTGAATCTCTCAGAGATAAGAGTGGAACGTTGACATCAAGCAGACCTTCTAGCCTTGCAACAGAAGGGTGAGGAGCTGGATGTTAAATCTTTGTTTGGTATAAATGGGTGATCATATATTTGTTTATTCATTTTCACCATGCAAGGATTTAATGCAATTGTGGTTTTGATAATTATTTCTTAATTAAAAATGCAAAAAAAGTGTATTTTATGCAGATTTTAGTTTTTTAAGTCGTATTTTTTATTTTAGCTGATATTTTTTTTTAATGAATTGCCTCCAAAAAAGAAAAAAATAATTCTTGACATTTGATTTAATCTAACCCAGGGGTGTCAAACTCATTTTAGCTCAGGGGCCACATTGCGAGAAATCTAGTCCCAAGTGGGCCGGACCGGTAAATTAAAAACAACTTCAGATTGTTTTCTTTGTTTTAATACAATCAGTATAAAACAAGGCTGGAGCTTGAGGACAGTGTATCCAAAATAGTACAAGTACAACACCTGAAGTGTACTTGAAAATTTGAAAAAAATAAAAAATAAAAATCAATCAATAAATTAAACATTCCTTAGTGATTCAAAGAGCTTACAGATCACATGGCAAGATCAGTTTCATGCAGCACTTAAAATATATTTGACTCATTTTACTTTACATCTTTTAGTTTTCACCAGCACATCAATATCAGAAGTCACATCCTGAGTGGCGGCCGACTTCAGGATGTGATTCAAGTTCTTGTGTGAGCCTTGAGCGCAGCTTTGTTTTATTTATACTCATTACAGAGAAAACTTGCTCACAAAGATACGTTTATTTTCACTCTACATTCTAAAGTATGAAAATAAAGTTTACACAACCATCTCACCGGCCGGATTTAACCCGCTTGCGGGCCGGATTCGGCCCGCAGGCCGTAAGTTTGACACCCCTGATTAACCGCTTTCATGTCTGAGCAATTTTTGTATTTCTTCTGCTTTATTTTGAAAAGTTGTTGGTTTGACTTCCTGCCAGGTGATTGTTCACACCTGAGCTCCGTTCTGCTGATTGCCCTTGACTGCACCGGTCCATCCCTGCATTGTTGTGCGGTTTATTTTTACATCTTGGCTTCATATTTATATTTTAGATATAAACATTTGGTCAACTTAAACAAATATAAACAAAAATATGTAAATTTTTTAACTTTTAGACAAAATTTGACAAAAAAAATCACAACAAATTAATGTAAAAATTATAGATTTATAAGGTGCGTTTAATAATTTAAGTGATATTTTTGACTGCTATTTTATTTAACCCTTTGATGCATAATGGTCACTACAGTGGACAGGTACTCAAAATTGTTATTTATTTGTTTTTGCTATTAAGCACAGCTGTTGAAGACTTTATTGCATGTGAGCCCCTCCATTTGGACTTCAGCGAGTCAAGCCAACATATTTCATGTTCAGAATGCACGCTGTCCACTGAGGTGGACATGTAATAAATAATTTGTAAATTATAAAATTTTACAAAAAATATTTGTTGAAATTTGTTTCATTCACACCTAAAGATGAATGAAAAAAATGTTTAAAAAATCATGGTTGAAGATTTCATAATTTATGCATCAAAGGGTTAATCCTTGTGTTAATCTTCGTCTCTAGACTGAGTGACCTCAGCGACTCTGACGACCATTTCTTATCTCAGCAGGAGACGGCAGCTTGAGGTAAACACCCCGCTGAGTCCGGCTGACCCGTCTGCAGAAGCGCAGCCGACCGACGGTCTGAAACCAAACAGGGATGGAGCAGGGCGACGTGTCCCACCCGTGGAGGAGGCTGTCCATGTCCACCGTAAAGACCACATCCTCAAAGGAGGCCAGGGCCCCCTGCAGCAGAGTGGAGGCTCGTTTCTGTGGGAGGAAACGCAGAAACTTTCTGTTGGAGGCAAAGAGCAGCTGCTGAAAGCTCAGCTGCTGCACGCCACAGAGAGCAGCCGGGAAGCACAGACTCACATCCAGGTATGATGAAATGATTAGAAGTTGCAGCAAAGCAATAAATCATGAACTAGATTTTAATGTTTTATTTATTTTGATGTTATTAAACTTTATTCTGGGTGTGTAGCACAGTTTCTGGATCTGGAGATGCGCTGCTGGGTTGAGCTCCGAGACTTTTGGATACAAAAAAAGTTTAAAAGACATTTTTAAAAGCTCAAATTAGGCCCATCTCTAACTGATCAGATCCGTGTCGTCTCATGAGATTTCCCCAGGGGTTTGCAGGATGCAGGTTTCCTGCCCGGCCATTAAAACACGATGGAGACACAAATCGGCTGCTAGGTTTTAGTGACATTGTTGATGTTCACTGAATTATCTAAAAGTCTTTAATTCTAGATTTTTATTTTTCTGGGGGATAAAGATTTCACGACTTTGCACAAAATAAGCAAATATCTGTGTCAGTGCCTCGGCTGCTGCTGTGGATCTGCTGCTGTCGGGGCAGATGGCTCCCCCGATGGCGTTTCCTTATCCTTATGTTAGCTAGTCTGGCTCATCTGATCTCAGCCCATTGTGTTTTTTCCATGTGGGAGGGGAGCATGTGTGTGTGTGCCAGAGGATGAGTGTCTGGAAAGGGTTTTCATTGTCAGACTGTTTTTAAAATTCTGGGGATGGGAGGGAATGTGGATATGTGGGGCCTTTTTAATTTACTAAGCACTTTGAGTTGCATGTATTGCATGATTAAGTGCTGTATAAATAAAGTTTGACTGATTGATTGATTGGTATCTGTTGTTTCCACGGCTGCTTGTTCTAAACTCTGCTTCAGCACATCTTAAACAAACGAGTCATAAACGGGTTGTTGCGGAACTTGATGCATTTGAAGCTGCTGGGTTGGATGAACACCCTCACGACTGCACTGACACTCCTGAGTGAATCTTGCACGTCGCCCGATCAGCAGTTTTCTGGCCCGGATCTGACCTGTGCTGTGCACTAATCCTCTGTAATTGGATGGACTCGCTGCTCCATCTTCTCCTCTTTGCTTTACTGGTGGTTACCCTGCAGCTCTCTCCTCTTGCAGGCTGTCGTCAGGAGCAACAGTGTGGAGGGCAAACGGGAAGCAGAATGGACCGTGATCTCGGAGTCAGCCGTCCCACCACAGGAGGAGCATCCTGCAGCACTCACGTAAGGATTAAAGAATTAATCTCAACTTTTCTGAATTTTTGGAGCATTTATCATTAATGTTGTGGCTAACTGCTTCAGTTTAGCTGCTTGTCATTAACCTTTGTCCACTTTGATGATGTAACCTTTGAAATACAGCTAGTCAAACCATTAAAGGTAATATTACCCTTAAGAAACAGTCTGGGCCACACTGGAAGAGGCTGGAGAGCTGAATTAAACCAACACAATATCCCTTTTTTGAAAAATATCTGTTTTTACACAAGTGAATGGAAACGATTAGAAAAAAGCTGAATCCATTCAAAGCAAACTCCTTTTTTTGTGCAGAAAAAACTTCAGTTTGATTTATTTAATATGACCTGAAGTGTCCTAAAAGTGCTGTTTCCTCTCTGATGTTTGGGCTAGAATGGCATCTCTGGAGAAAACCGCTGGCTGGACAGAGTCTGCAGGTGATCAGGAGGCAATCATTAGAGAAAAACTGGACCAGATCATCGGTCGGTCTGTGGACATCTCTGCTCTAACCGTACCTGACGCTGCGCTGCTTTCTGACCTGAAGGTCTGGTTTATGTTTCACGCTAGTTAAAGAATGAAAGATGCTCGTTTTTAGGATTAAATTCTGATTTATTTGTAGGAGATTGAGGACAAGCTGGAGGCTGGAATGAGGACGATCGCAGAACAAAGCAGAGAGGAGGACAGACGAGGGCCTGCAGCCACGCCCCAGCCATCCCTCTCCCAGCCCATGTATCGTCTGGAGCAGCTCAGACAGCTGCTGGATGAAGTTCAGTCAGCTGTCCTGGCTCTGCATCGCCTCCTGGCCACCCTCCGAGATATCAAGGCTGAGATTCCAGCCCTGCTGGCAAACCAGGACCCCAGCAGGCATAAATCTGAGCCGGACCAGGAGGAGGAGAGGCGTTCTTGGCAGAAGGCGGTGCAGAAGTTGAAACATGCAGTGGAACAATCCTGCGTGGTTGACGGTCGTTTACAGGCGGTGGGGGTGACGCTCAACATGGATGGTGCACCTGTGACCTGCCAGGATGTGGTGAAATCTGTTTCCCAGCTGGTGATGGCAGCACCACACCGAGAGGAGCAGCTGGTGTTTCTGGGAAGAATGAAAATCCGGAATTTAAGAGATACACAAAAGACCGGGACAGAGTCGGCACAACAAAGTGTGGAGCGTTCCGGTTTGAGTGCAGTGGAGAAGTCCACTCTGGAGGCGGAAAGAAGGAAGCAGGTGGAAGTTTGTGCAACAAAAATACAAGGAGAGGAAGAGACTCAAACATGTAGCTCTGAGGCTGGCCTTCTAAAAAGTAGAAATCCGATCCAGAGGAGGAGCAGCAGCTGGATTGGGAGGGAGCATAATGAGGGTATGGCTCAGAGGAAAGACACCTTGTTAACAAATCTGAGGGAGATTAAAGGAGGTTCTGAGGAGCTGAGGCTGCAAGAACCTTCCCTGCCTGCTTTGCAGCACAGGTACAACAATCAGCTGGGTGTTTTATTCACGACAACTTCCATAGTGTGTCACACAATGACCTTCTTAGCTAGGAACCACACCCAAAGCTTCTATATCACACATTCAGCTGGTGTGAGCACACACACCACTTCCTGTATTACTATAAAATCACACTATTGCCTCCGAACGCTAGAACCCAGTTTTGCAATTTTCTCCTGCAGGACCCGCGTGTTGATGGAGCTGGAGAGTGGTCTTGCGGTCCTGGTCTCTGAGAGGCAGCTCCTACGTGATGCTTCTTCACAACCAGGAAGTGCTGATGAGGATCAGACCAGAGAGGTGGAGGATCTCTGGCAGGAGGCGACGAAATCTGTAACCGAACGGTAAAGACGAGTAGTTTATCACAGCGCCTGCTTTCGCTGATTAAACCGTTTTGCACGTGGGAACATTTTTTGGGCGTAATGTGTTTTGGTGTTGATACACTCAGGCTGGAGCAGTGTAATACCCTAATGGAGCTGCTGAAGAAGTTTCAGAAGATGCACGGTGGGCTGAGTGCAACACTACAGAGGGCTGAGAGCACAGTCAGCGAACAAGCGTCCTACGTTGGGAGAGATTACCTGCAGAGACTAAAACCTAGAGTACCTCATTATGTTTCACTTGATAAACAAACCACTATACAGACCCCTACGCATGCGCTTCATCAGGTTTGTGTTTATAAGGTGGATGCAGCAAAAGCTGAGCTGAATGATCTTGGAGACGATGTTGAGGAGATTCGCAGCATCTGCAGACAGCTTCAATCCCTCCTGCGTCAGGTACCAGGCTGCACCGCCACGCCATATGAGAGGGAAGCCGAGGCTCTCATGGATCGCTGGCTTGATGTAAGTTTCACTTTGTAAAGTTTTAATTTGCACTCTATAGCACATTCATACCACCTGCCGCCACAAAGATACACGTTTGTTTTTACCGGTGTTGTTGTTCAAGAGTTTGATGACAAAACATCTCAACCTCCAAACTGATTTGAATGAATCCCAAACATGTCCACGACTGACTGAGTCAATCACATTTAACGCCGCATCCTACTAACATTTGATAGCATGATAATGTTTAAAACTCAAGCCGTTTCACAGATGGTGTGCATTGCCTCCATCGCATAATAACATGCTAACGGACTGTGCAAGGTCTTGTGCAATGTTATGCAGACCATCTTGTAATTTGCATGCAAGCACTTGCAATATTGCACCCACATTTTTGACACATTGCACGCATGAGCTTGACATATCGTGCACACCCGGACTTGCAGTGGTCGTTTGAAAGAACTTGCAATATTGCATACCAGATCTTGGAATTTCTGCATGCAAGAACTTGCGATATCGCATGAATGATCTTGGAATATTATATCACAGACACAATTTTGCAATAATTTCCTGCAAGAACTTGTAATGTTGCATGAACGTTTGACCAGATTGGCTATAATGTAGTTGTTTAAAAATGAAGATAATTTCTTGAAGGAAATGCATTTATAGGTGGTGCTTTGTGTGTAATCGGTAAATAAAAAGCAGCCTTAAAGTCCATCCATTTTCATCCGCTTATCCGGAGTCGGGTCGCGGGGGCAGTAGCCTAAGTCAAGAGACCCAGACTTCCGTCTCCCCAGCCACTTGGGCCAGCTCCTTCGGGGGAATCCCAAGGCGTTCCCTGGCCAGGTGAGAGTAATAGTCCCTCCAACGTGTCCTGGGTCTTCCTATAGGCCTCCTCCCGGTTGGACGTGCCCTAAAAACCTCACCAGGGAGGCGTCCAGGAGGCATCCTGACCAGATTCTCGAGCCACCTCAACTGGCTCCTCTCGATCAGCCTTAAAGTTTTCCATTTAATCACATTAACAAGGCTACATTTTGGATTCCTGTAGTTATCAGAACGTATCGATTCCCACCTTGAAAACCTCCATCTGTGCTCGACTTTATGGGACGGAGTTCTTCAGCTGGGGACAGAAGTGGAGGATTGGACTGATGCCAAACTATCAGAGTTCACCCAGAATCCGTGTTTACAGTCTGAGGACGACATCAAGGCTTTGCAGGTAAAAATGGCCCTTGTGTGTGTTTTTTCCCCCCTGTAACTCCTCCTGGCTATCTTACTTTAAACAATATTAACTTCCTTCATTCTGCCTGCAGAACGAGATTATGATCCAAGAGGAAAGTGTTCATCGTTTCCACCAGAGAGCTGCTGAGATTCAGTCACTGCTTCAAAGCTCAGAGACCCCTCTGGAGCTGCAGGTACAACATGCAGCTCCTGGTTAGCTTCGTGTTCAGCATGCAGGTCTCAGGCTGCAGTAAAACACGTTTTTATTTCACAAACTGCGTTTAGTCTTTGACATGGTTTCCACTTGTTTTTTTTAATTTTTTATCCTGAGGTGGTGGGAAGCCAGATGAGACAGAAAATAGAGCAGCTAAAGGAGGTTTTGGCTGAAGCCGAGGATGTTTATAAGCAGACGGTGGCCACTAAAGGACAAATTCATGGGAGGATAACGGAGTGTCTGAACTCTCTACAGAAGATTCAAGACTCCCTCCGCTCCCTTGCCGGCCCAGATGTTGCATCTGTTCTAGCTAAACTTAAGGTACAAACTCAAATTAGATCAAAGTCATGGATGGATACTGATGAGTTATCGATGTTGGTTAATTATTTAGGCTTACAGCATCATGTGGCTCTACCTGGTTGCATATCTTTTCTCCTACAGGAGTTATGTCTGCAGCTGCACACTCAGGACGAGCAGTCGCAGAGCTTGCTGGAGGACGTGAACGTTTTAGCCTCCGTAATCGGTCCTGTGGGCCTCCAGAATCTGTCGGTCAGCAGGAATCAGCCGGAGGAGAGCGTTCGGAACACCCATCAGCTCTTGTCTGAGGTGGAGGAACAGACTCAGAAAAGCGTCCTGGATCTAGACAGGTAACACAGCTCAAGCTCGTGTCCTTATTCACCTGTTTTGTCACAGGAAGTGTAAATATTTAGTCTTCCTCTCAAGATTGCATGTATCCTGTAAGCTGTTTTTCATGGGGTTGACTTTTGTAACACCTGCAAGGTGCAAGACTTTCCTTTTTATGGATTCAGGAATTTGTGAAAATGCAGAGTGAATCAGAGTCTTTATGCTGTGCATCTGTTACAGGCTGCAAACGGAGAGAGAACATCTGGAAAAATGGTTTCATGCAGCTGAGGAAAAGGTGTTGAAGGGGGAGGAGCTCAGTGTCCTGCAGGAGGAAGCATCTCAACAAAGGTAAAGTCTTCTGCAAGGGATGGAGTTGTGCACCTGTGATGCAGCAGCTGCTTTTCTGCAGAAATGGATGGTTTAAATGAATATGTGCAGGAATAATATCGTATATTGCCAAATGCAGCAAGTGCAGAAACGTAGAAATCTGGTCTGTTCACTAAAATGAAGTTTAGTTAGAAAGATGATCATTACATTGACCTGGTTGTCCTTTATGCTAAACCATCCTGTTGGTCCCTACGACCAACTTTATGACTTAAATTTTTTTATCATTCAATTACATTTTAAAGGTCCAAACTAGTAACTGCAAATGCTCTAATGTCCTGTTTTCTGTTTTGTTTTGTGCTCTGCAGTGTGAGGTCAGACCTCATTGCTCAGCTTGTGTTGTCCCTCAGGAGCAGCAGCCTTCATCAGCTGGAGCTACTGGAGCAGAGCTGCAAACTGCTGGGACAATACCACAACTTTCACTCACACATACAAGGTGGCTCAGAGGCGGGGCATCGCTCCGTGAACGCGGATTTGGAGGAGTTTCAGCTTTTGTCTAAATCCGTGCAATCGTGGATGGAAGACTTGAGAGGAGTTGTTGAAAGCAGCGGATCCCAGAGTCCGGTAGAGCAGAGACTTCACTCTGCCCAAGTAAGGGAAATTCACGTTGAGGACGTGATTTTTCACAGCTACTGAGAGATCATGCATCTTTACATTTTTATGTTAGGTTGTATTAACCGTGACAGCAGAGTGGGAGGCTCGCCTGGAAAAACTCAGAGTTTCTGGAAACCGTCTGAAACGAAAACTTCACAGAGATGTCCTGAACCTGGATGTTCAGGGGACTATCCAGAAAGCAGAAGATCAGTGGAGGAGCCTCTTCCAGTCAGTTCAGCCCTGTTACAGGTCAGCGGAGCCGGTAAGCAATAAACATTTCTATTAGCTGTTTACTCAAGTCTTTCGTTGTCTCCTGGTGGCTTCAGGGTGCTGCAAGATGAACCAGAGCTCGTCTCTGCCTACCTGGCAAATAGAGAGGATGCTCACCTCAGACTCAAACAGCTGCAGCACCAAGCTGAGCAGCTTCCTGCTTCCTTCTCCTGGCCTGGTGCAGCTGAACGTGCAAAAGCCTGCCACCGTGCCCATCAGCTTCTGGAAGAATCCAAGTCACTCCAGTTGACCTTTACTGGCCTGGATGAGAAGAGGATGGAGCTGCAGGAAAAAACCAGCAGCATCATCTGGAAGGATTCCTCCTGGGCTGATTTAGACCGCCGCTGGTCGGCGCTGACGGGAAAGCTGGAGGTAAAACTGTGTGTTAGCAACTCTCCAGGAGGCCATTCCCAATTACGTTTATTTAGTGACTGATCTAATAACGTGCACATTCATTACACATTCAGTTCAAGTTTATATTTATAAAGCGCCAAATCACGACAAGAGTCGTCTCAAGGACGTTCATACAGAAAACGTTCCAATACAGGTCAGTTCGTTAAGCCAATTAGTAAAACGTTTCCTGTAGAAGGAACCCAGCAGGTTGCATCGAGTCACTGACTCGTGTCCGAGTCTTTACAGCAATCCTCATACTAAGCAAGCATGCAGCAACAGTGGAGAGGAAAACTCCCTTTAAACCTGCAATACCTCCGACTTCAAACTTCAAACTGAGTGAAAGACTGAACCGACGAGCCAGAATCAGCTGGGGTGTTTTAACGGAGGTACATGAACGTGTCGTGGAGACTTGCTCGGAGTTTGTTTGGATTTCTACGGTCTGATAAATTTGGTCAAACATTGGAAAATGATATACAAGCTCATGCAAGATCTGTTAGCACTCTTGAGTACTTGTTGACTCTTGACACACACACACACACACACACACACACACACACACACACACACACACACACACACACACACACACACACGATGAATTGGGGTCGGTAAAGAGGTACGAGTATACATATATTACAGGAAGTGAAGGTCCATTGACTGCTGCTTGGTGTTCCTGATCTATCCACAGTGTTTGCATTCCCGCCTGGAGGAAGGTCTGAGTAATGAGGAACACTTCAGCCAGTTGCTGCCGGACTGCCACCATAATTTGACATCCCTGCAGGAGATGATGTCTGTTTGTCAAGCCCGAAAAGACGAATCAGATGAACTGAACACTGATGTAGCAGCTCTGGAGGTAAGCATCTTCTTTTATTTTGTTTCCTTAAAGCTATGCATGTGATTTTTCCTGAGCATTTATCCTTTTCAGTCAGCGTTTACACATTTCTAATTCCCCCCTTTTCACTTTGTAGCTTTTGCTAAAAGACACCGAAAAAGATCTTTCACAGCTGGAAACCCTCAGGGACTCCCTCACAACCAGTTGCACCGCTGAAGCCCGAGCCAGCCTTTCTGAGAATGTTGGTGAACTCCAAAACCACAAGAGGGCGATGGAGAGCAGCATCTACAAGCAGCTACAAGCAGCACAGCTGATGGAGAATCCGATAATCCAGCAAGTTGGAGAAGAAGCCTCCCGTTTACAGACGGAACTAAGAGGTCTCGTAGGGAATCTGTCTGGAATGATGTCGCCAGATATCAGCCAGCTGACCCAGCAGTGGTGTCTGGTACAGGTAGCATCAAAGTGTCACAACTATGGGGTGCCATTTGTAAAGTCAAACAGTCATAATCTAACGGCAATATTTTTGGTTATTTAGCATATCATAAGAGAAAAACTTGGGAGTTAGCTTTTTCGAAGTCATATTTTCACCATGTTATTCATACATTTAAATCAGAATCAGAAAAGGTTTATTGCCATTGTCAATGAACAAGCAGTTCACAAACTAGGAACTTGTTTCGGTACTAATGTGCCACATATAACATGAATAATAAATTTCAGAAATAGAGTAAGTAGAATAAAATATAATAAAACTAGCATAAAACATTCAGCTATAAAAAAGGCAGGTAGTGGTAACATGGCCGATAACGTGACGTAGTGTCGAGTACAGAAGACGAGCATGGTTGTGTGATTATAAGCTATTTACAAGTCTAACGGCAGATGGAAAGAAGCTGTTCTTATGGCGGGAGGTTCTGGTCTGGATGGACCGTAACCTCCTGCCTGAGGGAAGTGGCTCAAAAAGTCTGTGTCCCGGGTGAGAAGGGTCAGCTGCTATCTGACCTGCACGCCCCCGAGTTCTGGAGACGTACAGGTCCTGGAGAGATGGAAGGCTGCAGCCAATCACCTTCTCAGCGGAGCGCACAATGCGCTGCAGTCTATGTTTGTCCCTCACCGTGGCTCCAGCGTACCACACAGCGATGGAGGAGGTGAGGATGGACTCAGTGATGGCCGTGTAAAACTGCACCATCATCTGGCTCGGCAGCTTGGCCTTTTTCAACTGCCGCAGAAAGTACATCCTCTGCTGGGCCTTTTTGATCAGGGAGCTGATGGATGGCTCCCACCTAAGGTCATGTGTGATGGTGGTTCCGAGGAAGCGGAAGGAGTCCACAGTGGTGACGGGGGTGTCCGTCAGGACGAGGGGGAGAGATGGGGCTGTGACTTTCCTGAAGTCCACAATCATCTCCACTGTCTTCTGAGCATTGAGCTCCAGGTTGTTGCTGCTGCACCAGTACGCCAGCCGTTCCACCTCCCTCCTGTAGGCGGACTCATCACCGTCAGAGATGAGCCCAAAATGTTAAAGTTTCCAAATAAATATTTAGTTAGCAAGCTAAATATTTAATTTATAGTTAAATATTTATTTTGCAACCTAAATATTTAGGTCTCATCTAAATATTTAGTTTGTAAAATAAATATTTAATTCACTAATATTTAATTTACTAATTAAATATTTATTTTGAAGCTAAACATTTAGTTTGCAAAATCAGTATTTGGGAAATAAATATTTAAGTCTGACCCAAAAATATAAAATATAGTGTGGAGCTAAATAACATTGTGGAAAATAAATATTTAGCTGGTACTTAAACATTTAGCTAATATGCAAATTTGCTTGCCAATGAGCGGAAGTTGGTTACCAAAATAAAAGCTGGATCTCGCTAACCTCTTTATAAACTCTTGCTCCGAACCAGAACTTGTTTTATCTCTGGTTCTATTCTTCTTCAGCCAACACGTCGGACGTGTTCAGAATAATAGAACCGGAGATAAAACATGTTCTGGTTCGGAGCAAGAGTTTTTAAAGAGGTTAGCGAGATCCAGCTTTTATTTTGGTAACCAATTCCGCTTATTGGCAAGCGAATTTGCATATTGGCTAAATGTTTAAGTACCAGCTAAATATTTATTTTCCACGATGTTATTTAGCTCCACACTATATTTTATATTTTTGGGTCGGACTAGAATATTTATTTCCCAAATACTGATTTTGCAAACTAAATGTTTAGCTCCAAAATAAATATTTAGCTGAGATCTGAATATTTATTTTGGAAAATAAATATTTAATTTACAAATTAAATATTTAGTTCCAAAATAAATATTTAATTAGTAAATTAAATATTTAGTTAGTGAATTAAATATTTATTTTACAAACTAAATATTTAGATCAGACCTAAATATTTAGTTTGCAAAATAAATATTTAACTATAAATTCAATATTTAGCTTGCTAACTAAATATTTATTTGGAGACTTTAACATTTATAAATGTATGAATAACATGATGAAAATATGACTTCGAAAAAGTGAACTCCCAATTTTTTTCTCTTATGATATGCTAAATAACCAAAAAATATTGCTGTTAGATTATGACTGTTTGACTTTACAAATGGCACCCCATACACAACATGTCTGACTGATGGGGATCAAAAGGTGCATCCAGTCACAGAAGCATTTGTCTTTCTCAGGACTGGGATAAAAGGATGACAGAGTTGGCTGCCAGAGTGAATGACCTGCAGAGGAGGAGGAGTTTAAATGTGGGGCTGGCTTATGAGGAGCTCAACAGGTACAATTCTATAACAGAAAAGTTCAATCCTGAAGTTTTACTTAAGTACAATTATCATGTATTACTGAAGTGAAGGTAGCTCCATTTATGGAATGATAATTCAGCTAATTTAACTTTCAGTGACAAAGTTGGATAAATGATGGGAAATGTGTCTCTAAACATGTGGTTTTTAATGAAGATGGTAGCTTTAATCCCAGTTTCCTTCGTGTTAAAATAAGATTTGTTACGGTGATGTGCTTTTACCACATGTAGCTGTTCTTAATTTAGCCTTTTTTTTCCCCAGACTGAGCTCAGTTTTGTTGCAAATGAAGCGGGAATGTGCAGAAACTGCTGCAGAGACCGTGAGAGGAATCATTAACCAGCTGCAGCAATGGAGACGAACGCCACAGGTAGGTAGAAGGCTGCTCTCCTTTTAACGTCTGATCTTAAAGCTTTTTACGTAATTCTGTTGTCACTTTTACTCAAGTTGAAAACTAGAAATGTCAAAAAAAAAAAAAAAAAAAAGAAAAGAAATCTGTTTCTGGTGTGTTTTTCTTTTGTTCCTCAAACCTTTTGAGAGCAGCAGTAGAAAAGCATCTGGCTATTTTTATCTCAGCACTTTATGCTAATGCCGTGGAAATGACTGTCTCCCAGCAGGACGTGAGGGTTTTGGGTACAAATGCAAAATGCCAAAAGTCCTTCCTCTTGATGGGAAAAGTTATACTTTTTGTGTTTCTTATAAAACTGCAGAAGTAGTTCCTTTCCTTTTAGGGGGATTTGTATTAAAAATGAAATGAAGCAGTGCAATCAGATGAGAATTAGGAGTAGTTAAGAGTTGAAATGTTTACTTGTGAGTTTCTACCCTTTTAGGCCGATCTGGGTGAAGGTTTCCTCCTCCAACAAGCACTTTGTGAAGTTCTGTCCAAACAAAACGTTCTCATAAATTGTTTTGGAGCAGAAGTGACGAAAACTCTGGTAAAAAGTGCTTCAGATGCTCTCATCGAGAGTCAACCTTCACTCAATTTACCTGAATACCCGGTAAGTCGCAGACGTTTACATTTATAACACGTTAGGAGCAAAACTGAAGAACTTTTGTGGATTTTACAGGTTGGTCACGTTCACAGTCGAGTGCAAATAGAATCACCAAACAGAAGAGCTGAAGACAGTTTAAGAAATGAAGATAAAACTATATTTGGTGAAAGAAAAAGCCCAAGTTCCTCTGCGTCTGCCGTAGCGGACAGAAATAAGGAAGCAGACCAGGATCACGACAACCACAATGTTCCTAAAGGAGTTTTAAAAAAGCATCTTCCCCCTTCAGGAGCAACAGCCGAGGGAGCTGGTGCTGGAAAACAGAATCTAGCAAACATTTTAAACCAGAAAGACGTTTCTGATGCAGAGAGCTTAATCAAAATGAACAAAGATGATGCCTCGATGCCCATTCAGGCCCTGTGTTCAGAAGATCCAGATGATTTAGAATCAATAACTCCATCAGCTTCACAAGAAATGGACCTCAAGCTTCGTCTTGGATCAACAGATGATGATGATGATGATGGAGGTAAATCATGCTCCGACACTCAAAGCGGCGTGCATGGGAAGATTTCTGACCATAGGTCTGAGTCTGCAACACAACCACCCATTCCAACTCCTCACATTCCAGAACATCCCAACACACTCGGGGTCCTAGATGATCAAGAACAGGAAAAACGTTACGAAACCACAAAGAGAGCTTTTAAAGTTGAGTTGGACTCACTGAAATACACGGATCCGAACGGTCTGTGTGTGCTGCAATGTTCTCGGGGAGTGGAGAGCTGTGATCCTGCACAATCATCTGGGCTCTTCTCAGCATCAGTCAATCCAGAATCAGGCCAATCTGACTGGAAACGCTGCAATCCGGCCGCAGTGTCAGCGAAAATCAAAGAAGGGACGGATGGGGAAGTCGGAGAATCAGATAAAGTATTTACTGTGGTGCTGGAGCTGCAGGTGTGTGATGTGGAGCAAAGGGGGGGTGCTGAGGCTGGCAGGTCTGATGTTTGCAGGTGGTCACATAAAGCTGAGCTTCATGCTGAAAAGCTGCAGAACTCCTTGGTGTTGGCAAACACAGACATGGAGGGGGTGAAAGAGAAGCACACGACCCATGAATTAAAGCCCGATGAGTCGATGAGCTCTGCTGGTGCATGCCTCCACAGCGTTAGACCTTCAGCTGAAAGTTTGTCAGATTTCTGTTTATCTGAGGGACAAACGGACACCTCCGTCCTTTCTACCTCTAACGAGTCTAGACAAACACAAGAAGACGCAGCTGACGCTAAACAGAACACAGGTCCGGCAGGTGAGGAGAGGACCCGTGGAACTCCAGCAGGACAGGAAGCAGCACCACTGATGAATGATGATGAACAGAAGAGACATGGAGCGCTGCAGGGAACGCTGTTGCCACGGGAACGGGTAGGCGAGATTTACATTTGTTTAGAATGAAGTAAAATAGATGCGTTAGTGAAATGAGGGGAAACTCCTCCCACATCTGAGACTAAAGAGATTCTTTCTGAAGGTTCCACCTCTGGTGCAGAATAATGAAGCTTCCAGATCACTGGATGCTTTTGATGTTTTCTTTGTTTGTTTGTTTGTTTCTTTCTTTCTTTCTGTCTGTCTGTCTGTCTTTCTCAGTGACATCCGTTCTTCAGTGGAAAAACTGGCCTTTTATCTCCAGTAACAAGCAGAGCTTTATTAATATTTTTGGACTTTTATTTAAACCCCTTTAGCTCAAAGCTCTTGTTTAAAGAAGTTACAATCCCAACTCAACTATAAAAATGTTACATTTCACTAAAGGCACCTAAGAAATGAAAATATTTACTGAAAGCACCTGCAGCCATATTATTTTGCCTCCTTGTTTTAAAGAACAGATTTAAATAAAGTTAAAATAAAATAGAATAAAATAAATAGAATAGAGTTAAAACAAACAGTAAGAGTTCTCCTGGACATATTTTTGGCGCACTCATCAAAAATTACGTTACATACACTTTTACTTTTTTTTTCACCGAAGAGCAAGTCACCCCCTACCTATACCCCTACTCTCATTTCCTGTGTAATGAATCAATAGAGGGTAAATAGGATTAAATAAATTGCTCAAGAGCAATTTATTTTTAATGTCATTACTTGTGACCCATAGCTGTGATAATCTATTAATTATAGAATATCACCTGCTTGGTCTTTAAGATGATTAGGCGGAATATTCTAAGATTCTTTGTTTATTCAGGGACTGTAAACACTTTGTTTATGATTCGAGAACCAGTCAGGGTTTGCAAACAAATAAGAATTTATTTTACAAACAATTAAGACTTGAAAAATGGTTTAAACTATTCTTCTGTAAGTGGATGCAAACTAAGAGATGGGTGTCTGGAACTAGGTGTGAATATAGTATTTCAGAGTCGGTAACATGAGAAAGCTGAATCCTGGATGGAGGAAATTTGGTTTGCAAGTAAGCTACAAGCTGTTATTTATCAAACTGCAAACAGACGCTATCCCACTGTGTTCTACGTACCGAAGTGGAGGCGCCCTTGCAGATCCGAAATGTCAGGGGGGTTGGAGACCCCGAGTACAGAAGTCCGTAGACTAACTCCTAGTACGACCAGGTCGGTCCAGAATCGCTTCCAGGTAACACAGGTGGACTGGATGGAACCAAGCGTCTCAAAACAACTCTGAAGGAGTGTCGCAAAATCAGCTTTGTTCTGCAGGAAAATTATCTTGTTTTTTTATTTATTTATTTATTTTTCCTGTGTTCTTTCTGGCTGTGAAGCAAACAGAATTGATGTCTGCATGCTGGTGACAAGCCTTACAGATTTACTCTCAGGTGGAGCATCAAAGCGTCTGCTTTTAATGTCACGCCTGATACTTTATTGTTTTTGAATGCTTTTTAATTCCGACCAGACACGGAGACAGAGGTGAAAGAGAAAGGAAGAGACAAAGGAGGAGGGGGGTTGTGTTTCCACAAAAATAAACAATAATGAACAAGAGTCTGCTTCTAGACCTGCAGAAAGAGAGAAGAAATGAACTGTGGGATCTCAAAATCAGTCCATTTGGTGACGTTACACCTGCCTGCCAGACCGAGGGGGCGGAGCCGATACAAATACACACAAGCTTACAGCGGGATTGTGACATCATGGTGCACCTCTTAGCCAATAGCGATGGCAGATTTTAATCCAAATGTAGTGCAGAGTTTTTACCTGAAGAGGGCGCAATTTTAGACAGAATATTTAATTTTTAACAAAAATGCACTAAAGTCCCAAATTATTGACTACATGTGTCTACAGCATGATTAGACACTCATTTATAGTTTATCATAAAAAAATTGGTTTCAGGTGACTTGCTCTTAAAGAATGTAACATTTTTGTTTTTGCAAATTCTGCAAATATTAATGCATGAAGTCCACAGCAAAGATTAATTTCTCTTGAACTGCCTGGGCTGAAAAAGTCCTAGCAGCATCTGCTTGGTAGTCCCTTTTAACAGCTAGCATTTGACTTGAGGAAGGCTGCATTCCATTTAGATGAACTTGTGCTTCTGCACATCAAATACCCTGTTCCTTTTGAACAGGGGCAACACCATTATGCTGTACACAGGAACAGGAATCCAGATAATGAGATGTGCAAAATGTTTGTAAGATGAGGCCAAATTCATTTGGAACTTCTAAATAAAAGATTTAGAAAAAAACTTAAATTTTTTATTATAATCTGGTGGAAAGAATCATTCACGAGCATTTCTCAGCTAAGGTAAAGTTAGTTTTCAGCAAAGATGGAGCACCTAAACAGTAAAGTCTGACGTAAAACAACATGTTGGTTTTTATGTCCTGTCTTTGCTCCACCTACGTTCTGTAACTGTCCACACCTGAGTCGAGGCCCATTTGAAAAGGCCCCTCCCTTCACTGAGATCAAGTAACCTATCAGCCCACTTCACGTTTTTGGTGTCAGACCTGTCTGACCAAGTTGCAGCAGCCAGAAACTAGGAATCCTATAGCTCCTTTGGGGCATTCTTCTGTTAACTGCACTGACTTGTTGGGCCACCGTCTGCCTGACAGTTACTGCTGTGGAAGGCGGGAAGAAAACAGGAAGCTGTGTTTATATCTGTGGAGGCTAAACGTGACACCACCCTGTCCTCCTCTAGGCTCTGATCCAGGGAAGCATGGAGCCTGAGAGGACGACGCCGAGTTCACCAGATGATCTGAGAGCTGCAGGTGGCTCCTTCAAACACACTTTCACCATGGAGGATCTCTTATCTGATGTTCAGGGCTTGGTGGAAAGAAGCAGCATTATAAATGTGAGTAGTAACTGATTTTAGTGGAAGTAAATGTTGTTATGCCTACTTGGATTAACCCACTCTTCATTAAAAGTATAAAGAAGAAAAATCTGAACTCGTGTCTTTGATTAGATGTGAACAAAAGATGGAAAATATGCTTACATGAAGTTTTAGTGATGTGATCAGAACTGCAGATTTGTAGAAGTCCATTTTGAGCAGATTGAAGAGATGAGAGGATGTTTGTGTTTTTCCATGATGCATCTCAACCGGAAGGATTATGTTATACGTTGACTTCCTGTTGGATCATTAGGGGATCTAATTGCTCACAGCAGGCACGCAAGCAAAAAATAAATGTCAGCATATGTTAATATTAGGGGTGGGACTTGACTGAAGAAATAATCCAGTTAATCAGAGGCTTTGTAATTAATTAATCTTGATTAATCACATTTTAATCAAGACAATTTGAGCCCAAGCAACATTTTTTTTATCAAAAATCAAGTGAGACACAGATGACATACCCACACTTTAAAGAGCAAGTCACCCTTTTTTGCTGATAAACTATCAGCTATGTAAATGTGTCTAATCATGCTCCTAGACATGTGTAGTCAATAATTTTGCCCTTTAGTGTGGCTTAGTTAAAAATTAAATATTCTACCTAAAGCTGTCACTTTTGCGCCCTCTTCACATAAAACTCTACACCGCATTTGATTTTAAATCTGCCATCGCTGTTGGCTGAAGCCCGGATCACAGCAGGCGTCTTAGCCAGATCCCTTGTCGGGAGCACAGTCGTGTAAAAAACGGTGAAGGTGAGGGTGATTTGCAAATCTGTGGTCGTTCAGTCTGACCGGCTCTGCGACAGCTTTCTGAGCCATGTCACAACCCAAATCAGCCTCCAACAGTCTACAAGCACTGCTTGAAACCTCTGATTCCTGTCTGCAACCAACCAAAGAAAACGCACCTTTGGGACACTGCAGCAGCGAGACTCCGCCTGTCTGAGCTTTGGTTTCAATTGGCTTGAAATGTGGTTTATAAACTACACACCAATTTTTATTTTTAATAGCCCAAGTGAAACCACAGTTGTACTAAAAATAATTCTACTACTATTTTAGACCATCAGCTGAATTGTGAGAACCTTGATTCTGTGATCTGTGAGAGCTGAGAAGAGATGAGCTCACCAACATAGAAAATAAAACACAAAAACATGAGATCCTTTTTCTGTTTGTGGAAATTTGACACATTCAACCGATAAAGATGGTTCAGTAGCAGGGCCGTTCAGAGACGTTTGAAGGGGCCGGTGCTCACAGTAAGAAAAGGGGCACATATAGAGCAAAGTTTTTGAACAGATTCACGACCCAAGTTAAATTCAGATAATGAGACCCTTGGTTTCAAACAACATAATGTAAACTAGGAAAAATATGTCATTAATTAAGGTAACGTTATTTCATAAACAATTGTTGTAGTTTTTAAAGCTGACTTATGTTACAATCATATTTTTGCCCCTGATCTGAATCCAAGTTGTTTGATTTTTGATTTTCTTCCAATACTGAGTCCTGTTTTGATAGCAGGTGGTGATGCAATGCATTAAAAAAGAAGAAGAAAAAATGGAGAAAGCCCCATAGTCATCATCACATACTGGTGATCTCATTGGCGGAGAGTGGTGAGATGCAGCAATGGCTGTGCTCGGGAACTATTTGGTGGTTTTACCCCCAATCCAACCTCTTAAAGCTGAGTGTCAAGCAGGGAGGCACTGGGACCCATTTTTAAAGTCTTTGTTATGACCCGACCGAGAATCAAACCTGATCTCACAGTCCCAGGGAGGACACTACCACGAGGCCACTGAGCCTCCACATGGTTCTAGTGCCTGACCTGTATCCAAGTATGACAGTTTTGGATGGTAAAATCTGACGGAAGACCGAAAAAAGGGCACTTTGGGCTCTTCAAACTCTTGATGTCTGCCAACAGACGGTGGCTGAAGAGACACTCTCAACAACAGACTTGTAGAAGATCTGCAGCATCTTGCTACAGACATTGCAGGACCTAAGCATCCTCAAGAAGTGCAGTCTGCTGTGTCCCTTGTAAACGGCTTCACTGTTCTTTCTCCAGTCCAGTCTGTTGTCCAGGTGAACTCCTAGGTATTTGTATTCCTCAACCACCTCCACTTCTTCTCCCATGATGGAAACAGTGTTTGACTCCACCCTGTTTCTTCTGAAGTCTAAAATCATCTCCTTTGTTTTGTTCACGTTCAAGGTCAGATGATTGTTTCCACACCATGCCACAAAGCACTCCACCAGCTCTCTGTACATAGCTCCCTGTTCAGTCTCTCCAGCTGCCTCTTCACCTGACTTCCAGAGACAGATAGGTGGGAGGGGAAGGTAAATGGGGCAGCAGCATCTCCTGACTTTGTTGAAGACAGATTTATAGAACCAGAAGAGTCCATGACTGCATTAGAGGACAAAGGAGCTGGTGTGACAGGAAAATGTTGGATCAGAGGAGGATGGAATGTCTGATTGGCTGGGGACAGGCGAGGAGGATGCTGGGTTTGTTCCTGAACTGAACCTATTGAAGAACTTGTTCAGTTCATTGGCTGTGTCCAGGCTGCCATCTGTGCAATCCTTCCTCTGCTTGAAGCCTGTGATCTTCTTCATCCCTGACCAGACATCTTTGATATTGTTCCTCTGTAGTTTGTTTTCCAGCTTCTTCCTGTATGCCTTCTTGCTGTCTCTGATCTTGATCTTCAGTTGCTTCTGTATACTCCTCAATAATTCCCTGTCTCCCTCCTTGAAGGCTCTTTTTTTCTCATTTAGCAGATTCTTCAGTTCACTGGTGATCCAGGGTTTGTTATTAGCAAATTATCTCACTGTTCTGGTGGGTATGATTTTGTCCACACAGAAGTTTATATAGTCAGTGACGCATCCAGTCATGGCATTAATGTCCTCTTCATATCCTTGGCAGAGAGTCATCCAATCTGTGGTCTTAAAACAACCCTGCAGGGCTTCTTAAGCATCCTGTGACCATTTTCTTACAGTTCTTCTTGTCACAGGTTGCCTCTGATCAAGTGGTTTGTATTCTGAGCAGAGAAAAACAAGATTGTGATCTGATTGTCTGAAAGGAGGTCTTGTTTTGGACATGTCTGTATGTATTCTTTGCATTTGCATAACACAAATCCAATGTCTTGTTTTCTCTGGTGGAGCAGCTGATAAATTGTTGAAATGTTGGAAGTGTAGCAGAGAGCGAGGCATGATTAAAATCACCAGATAAAGCCACAAATGCATTGGGGTGCTGGGTTTGTAGCTTAGCGACAATGGAACTGATGGCATCACATGCATTTTCAGCAATGGCTGAAGGTGGGGGTTGGGGGGGACTATTCAGTATGTTTAAAACACATTTTTTTAACATCTCCACTATATTACTTGTTAATCTATGTAATAATTTCTTTATTTTACTGTTTTCTTGGTTTCAAAGTTCTTCGTTGCAGCAAACAATGCTGGAAATGACACAAAACCCTGCTGCATTCACACTCTTCAGGTTTTATTTTTATTGTTTTACTTAATGCCAGTTTTATTCTAACAATTCTAAATTAATTTTCTATGCAGAGAACCTCTCATGCTGATTTAAACTGGTACCTGAAGTCCTCTCCCAGTGACGCCGACGTTGGATTAGCTCGGACTGTCCAACACATTTTAGCCTGTCGGTATCAACCTGCTCAACTCCACGTAGCTTCCATGGTTAAACAGCTGAAGGAAGCCCAGGTATGTGAAGTACTTTTGAAACTGAATAGTTGTGTGAAATAAAAAACTCGTTTGGTCCAAAGCTGTTTAATATGACAACAAATGAAGTATTTTAAATGCAAAATGAAAATCATTTGTTTACTTATGGTTTGGGTTTAGGAACAAAGTTTTGGCGAGGTCATTCAAAAGTTGTGAGAGCTATAAAATTACAGCTTACATAAACTAATAGTTAATTGGTAACAGAACAAGAAAATAATTGTTTTACTTCTTACTAATCTAGAGTGACTCAGTCTGTAGAGAAACAGTGTGGCTTCTAGAAAACTAACTTTTCTAACCTGCAGGAGTACAAGTGCTGTGTCCAGGACCAGGTGGCCACCATGGAAAGTTATAAAGAGACAGTATCGGACCAATGGAGGGCCGCTCTGCTGGAGGCTTCTGCCACGGTGCAGGTGAAGGCAGCACAACTGGATCAGGTGAAAAAGTATCACCTCCAGATGAGAATCACCAGGGCTTTCCTGGAGGTCGTAGCAGCCAAGAAGGCAAAAATGAGTTTGTGAGTGATTTCATCATGTAAACTGAAATATTTCCCAGCGACTGCTTGTGGTAGAGTAACGTTGGATGTTTTCCAGAGAGTCTTTGGGATACAGCGCCCTTCTAGCTGAACATCTTCATGCACTTTTTCAAGCTATGGAGCAAAAGAAATCAACGCTAGAAGATCTGCACCGCTTAAGTGGCCGACTTTCAGTCCACCTGAGTGACGCTGAGAGTTCAGGAGCTCTCCTGGCTCAGATCGGGGATCTCCAGGAAGAGTGGAGGCTTCTGAAAGGGAGCATCAAAAGAGCTCTTCAAGACGCATCAAACTCTACATCTCAATCTTCGCTTGTTTTAGAAGAAGCTAAACAGCTTAAAGACCGACTCGAAGCTTTTCTGGAGTCTGAAAATGAAAACTTAAGTTCTTTAGAGTTAGTTTGTCTGACCACAGACTTAAAACTGTACAACCAGCTTTACTTACGTTTGCAGTCCCAATCAAAAGCTCTCGTTAGTTTCTCTCTGGGTCCCAAAGAGAAGGATGAGATTCAAAGGAACCTTCAAAAATTGGGATCCTTACTTGGTGTCTCTAAGAAGAAGCTTGAGTCTTTGAAGCAAAGCTGTGGGAATGTTTCTTCACGTCCGATAGAGAAGCAGCTTCAAGAACTGACTGTGTGGGCCAAAGAGGCTGAAAACCTTATTTCTACTGGGCAAAAGTTAGCTCTGTTCCCTGAGGAGGCTCAAATCCAGATCGCTGAAATGAGGAAATCCCAAACTGATATTTTATCTAGACGAGCCAAGATGCACTTACAAGTTGAAGAGATGACAAGTGACCTCACCGATATAGAAACTGAAGATGGGGAAGTACTGAAGACCGTTGAAGATTTGTACGAAACTATCGCTGACAGTTTGGATCAAATCGTTGAGTCCATGAAGAGAAAGCTCGGTGAAAGAGAAACACTTTTGGATGAGTTTGCTCGCCTGGACGTTTGGCTAGCTGAAACTCATGCTAAAAGAGAGCCCTGCACGCACACAGAGAATGTTTCCAACACTGACATCAGTGAACTCAGAAGTGAGCTGAAAAGCCACAGACTGGTCACTGAGGAGATACAACACCAGCTAAAACTGGTGGACACTTTGTCAGAAAGCTGCACAAAAATATCCACAGAGCTGAGTCCAGGAGAGAGCCGCTACCTAGTCAACCGGCTCTCGGGCCTGTGGACAGATCTAGACGGACTGCTAGCACACAGGAAAGCCACAATTTGGGAATTAGAGGAGCTGATTCATGAGCGAACCTATTCAGATGACGAGTTTTCTACTATACAGGCCAGCTTAAAGCGAATTTCAGCTGATTTAGGACAACAGAAGTTCCCTTTGATTCAAGAAACATCTTCAAGTGCACATTTGAAGCTAATGGAGCATCAGTGTCAAGCTCAAGAGCTTCAGCATTGCAAAGAAGACGAGCGAAATTCCTTGCTGTCTTCCATCAGTGAACTGCAAGACCGGTGCAGAGCGCTCAGAATAAAAGCCGTTGAGCAAGAGAAATATTTACTCCTCATGAAACAAGTGGAGGAATCGGTGGAAGTTGCCAAAAGGAAAATCTTGGATGCTAAAAATGAAACGACCAGTGTAGATGAGAAGTTTAGATTGTGCCAAACTCTCCTGGTTGAACTTCCTTTGCTCAAGACGCGATGTAAAGACGCAGCACATCAACTGGACTCCATAGCTCTGGACTTGCATCCATCTGAGCTTAATCCAGAAAAAGAGAAGATTCGTCTCACAGCGGAGACTCTGACCTCCTGGGAGCGTTCAGTCACAGACGACATCAAAGCCCTGGAGGCCGAGCTTCTGTCGGGTCTGCGGTTTTACTCTGAGCTTCCTGCCTTCACAGCTCTGCTACGAAGAACAAAGGAAGAACTAGGCAGAGGGAAACCAGTCCATCCCAGTGGGAACACCATTGATGTCACTCTGCAGAAGTACTGTGTCAAATGCAGAAACATAGAATCAGGGTTCCGACTTTTGGAGGGTGTGGCGCAGAAAGAAAATGTAGACTTGAGAAACTACAAGGACTTGTTTCGTCTTAGAGACGAAGCCATGGAAGAGTGCCACTCGTGGATGGTAAGCTACTGTTTTTACTTTCATTTAAATACTCTTTTACCATATTTTTGAAACTCGTGTACCCAACAGGGCAGCCTTTCTGAAGCTGCAGACTCCTTAAAAGACTATGAATGGGCAGCTCAGAGCGCATTAACCTTCCTTAAAAATGCAGAAGCGACCTTCTTATCGGCTCCAGGCGGGTTCCCCAACTGCACCGAGGAACAAAAACGGATCCAACAGGCTTTAAAAGACCTTGAAGATGGGCTAGAGTCCCATATTTGCCACCTTGCAGACAGAGTTCCCCAGCAGCGCTGCCTCTCTGCATCAGAAACTGAAGTCCTTCACATCACCGTCCTCAGCCAGCTGCTGGTTGGAAGAGCTGCACTGGAGGCTCAGGCACAGCTCAGACTGGAGAGCCTGCAGAGGTACGCGGCTGTTAAGTAGCGTTATTCACAAAAGGTGCACTTTTTTATATACAAGCATTCTGTTTTCTTTTCCAGATGTGAAATGAGGCAAGAAAGCCACATAAAAAGTTATGAAGATGTTCGGCTGCGAGTTTCAGAGTTTGAAGTTAGGCTTTCAGAGTTGGCCTCTGAACACAAGACGTCGTACGATGAGTGCCTCGCCCAACAGAGGAGCGCCACGGTAGGCTGGGCGCCGTGTTTTCTGGGTGATGAGGACTGATTTTAGTTAAACCTTCATTTATAAAGATTTTAAACATTTCTGCTCCTTTTAATGATACAAATCACATCATGTTAAGTTTGGAATGGGACTGATTTAGCTTTTTAAGTATTTTTCTCATTTTTATAACATTTAATAAAAACACTTGAAATATACTATGTCACACTAAGTATGTCTCCGTAGTAGAAACTTTTAGTTTAACTTTGCTTGATTATTTCATGTTTGCTGAGATTTCAACATTAGCATACACAGAAATTGGTTGTAACTCCATCAGGTTTATAAAGACTGAACCAAAATCTAATGTGGAAGAAGCCAAGTCATTCACAACACTGATTAATCGTGCAAGATCTCATATAATGTTTTCAAGATTTGACCAAGATAGCTGCTATTCTATCAAGTCATCATTTAAAACTCCGATATCAAAGGTGGCAGACAAAATGCATTCCTTCAGTTAAAGTTTTGTTCATTAGTGTTTCGATTTATGGCTGAAAACTGCGACATGAGTTCATTTATCATCCATTAAAGCAGCAGTGAGACGTTTCCTTCTCCTTCGCTCTGCTGGTTGAAAGTGGAATTACAACTGTCGTAAACAACCCTGCCGCAGCCTTCTGTAGCTAGCGCTAACCACGTGCTAACACTAACTTGAGACAACTGATACTAAAATAAACCACAAAGTAAAAAGATCCACACTGTTGGACAAAAACTATTTTTACTTACAAGACCTTTCTCAGTGGCCTAGTGGTAGAGAGTCCGCCCTGAGACTGGGAGATCAGGGGTTCGACTCCTGGCCGGGTCATACCAAAGACTTTGAAAAAATGGGACCCAATGACTCCCTGCTTGACACTCAGCATTAAGGGGTTGGATTGGGGGGTTAAACCACCAAATAGTTCCCGAGCGCGGCTGTGTCTGCAGCTCACCGCTCCCCCAGGGGATGGGTCAAATGCGGAGAATACATTTCTGTGTGTGTGACAACTAATGGGACTTTAACTTTTTTAAGTCCAGTAGCAACAAAGCCAGGTCACCATCAGTCTGTCGTTGAGTAGCCTCCTTTAGCTCCCTCAGACTAGCGTAGGCCGCGCTGATGTTCACGCTGGTTTTAGCTCTTTGCTTCACCTGCAAAGACATTACTCTCTTACTTTTACTTCCAGGCTCCGCCATGATGCCAACACGAAAAGCAAATTTATTCTTTTTCTCGTGCTTTTTATTGACCTTTGACCTTGGCAATGCTAACCACTAGCATTACAGCTAACAGCCATAAAGCAGGTAAAGAGTACCCTCTAGGACACCTACCTGCTCCACTAACCTATCCATGTAGTGCCAAATATGAAACTGGTGGAGTTTCTAACGCAACAATCACTGAGATCAACGTTAAAGCTCTAGCTTAAAGTTTAAAAGCTGTTGTTGTAAAAATAAAGGCGGATTTCAATATCAGGGTTGTAGATGCTTTGATTGGCTTTTAGTTGCTGTAGCATTTAGCTTATAAAAACTACATGTGGATGAATAACCCCAGTAAATGAAAATAGAACACAGAAACTTTAATAGAATTTATTTATTTTCTTTCAAAAGCTTCTGCTGGAAGATCTTCGTGGCCTCGTAGAGAAGATGGAGGATCTGAGAGCTGGATGTCCGATGCAGGGTTGTGGGGTTGTAAAGGGTGGCAAGCTTGGCGCCCTCTGGAGGCGATGGGCGTCATTACGGAGAGGCGCAGGTCTCCTGGTGGCACACTTGGAACAGAAGGCAGAGGAATGGAAGGACATCACTACAAGTGTGAGTGTTACTGATTTAAACAATAATAATGCCAATAATCCTAATCCTCGGACTTCTACTCGTAGACTAGAATGAACAGAAATTAATAATTTCTATTTGTTCCAGTTGGAGCAGTGTTGCAGCCACCTTTCCAGCCTTCAGGCCGAGGTTCCGGACTCCTCCACTGTTGAGGACTCCCTGGAGCTTCTTGCCCAGACTGAGATGCATCAGGCAGGCTTGGAGCAGGGGCAACGAGCCTTGATGTCACTGGAGCGTCGATTAGAGCATGCTCTGAACATATCAGCCTCCCGTGGTCTGATCGACCCCGGACCTGCTGGCAAAGCCCTGATGAAGATCCAGGAGGACGTGAGGAGGTGAGAGTTGTATCAAGCTGTTAGTGTAAAACATGTTTTAACTCCGTTGTTCCCTTCAGCCTGATGGAGAGAAACCTGCTGCTGGTTGCTGCAGTCAAAGCAGAAGAAGAAGAGAGATGGCATTTCCAGGAAGAAATGGAACAAGTGGAGAAATGCCTGTTTGCTATTTTACCAGAACTGGAAGCGTGTTCAGATCCGAGCAAAAGACAGGTCAGCTGGTTTTAGGACATACTTGTAAACCTATGCTTGTGTTTGATTACGTTCAGTCAACTTTTAAAGGAGCTTAAACCCAAACTTCTGACTTCTTCTCACTCTTTGTGCAGTGATATTCTGTTTTGTTTTCTATTTTCTACAATAACAGGAGCTCCAACATGATTTTTGCTTCCTGAAAAGCAAACTTGAGTCGATTATGGACAGCCTGCAGGGCAAATATGCAGAAATTCCCGCTGATATCAGGAGGCAGATGCAACAAGCTGAGCGGTCTCTGCAGAAAACCGAAGAAATGGTGACGATGTTTTGTTGAAATCACGCTTAATGCAACAATAACTCTGCCACAAACACTTCAAGTCTTTCTGTTTTCCTGCAGCTCTTGGAGAGACATGACCCGTTTAGGAAACTCGGTAGTCAAGTGAACGAGCTGGGTTCTGGTATGGGGAGAGTTGAATCCTTGCTGGCGCAGAGAAGTCCAACCCTCACCGATGCTCAGAATGTGCTCAAGGTGTGTGTCGCTCCCTCCAGAAAATACACCTCTTACCGGCACTCGGCCATCTGCTCGACATCCAGAGCGAACAAGCAGTGATGCGTATTAATCATTAAATGCATAAATAAAATTGTATATACTTTTTCTCCAGAGGGTGTGGGACGAGCTGGATGCTTGGCACAGCAGCTTGATGCTCCTGGAAAGTGAAGTCCAAGACCTGGCAGAGGACCGACCGAATGAAGCCCAGCTCCTCGTGGACCAGCTGACGGAACCACAGCAGCTGTACCAAAAAGCAGCGCGGAAGGCCGAGGAGCGCACCACCTTCCTCAGCGAGGTCAGATTAAATTATCGAGCCCCTCAGACGACGTCTTTGCATCCTTTTGATCGTGTTTTGTGTGTTTCTTTAGATCCCTGCCTGTCTCCAGGAGTTTGACGATATTGTCCATAGAGCCTCCTGCTGGTTGGAGGAAGCCCAGTCGTGGCTCCGATCCCCCTGCTACTTCACAGCAGCCAGAAGTTTCTGTGCTCGTGCAAAGCAGTTACAGGTCAGACATCACAACTGTGACTCGGTGCATCTTTTCCACACCTTGTTTTTTGGTTTTGATTTGATTTCCTCAACGTCAGCTGGTTCTGGATGACTCTGAGACGATCAGGCACGCCCTGCTGAAGTTTAGGCCGGTGCTGGCTGAGATGTCAGCGGTGTGTGACTTCAGCGTCCAAGAGGAGAGGCTGGACCAGACTGACCAGGATGTCCACGACATGCAGAAGTGCATCGTTAAGCCTCTGGAGCTGGTCCTGCAGGCTGTTGCAGTAAGGACTTAAAATGGTTTACAAATAGGGATCTACTAAATTGAGGACACTTTCTGAGTCCGTTGTTAGATTTCGGATCCTGAGGAAGTGCTGATATTTCTTTCAGGTGGTGGAGGATATTGAGGAGGACATGAAGAAGATGGAAGACGACATTACTAACATGACTATGTTCTTGTCGACGGACCTCATGGACGCAACATTAGTGGAACATCTCCACAGTCGACAGGTGAAGCCCCGCGGTTCTTGCCTTCTGATGATTTGCTTAATCAGTTTTTGATTGTTAATTAACAATTTATACTTCAGGTGATCCTGATTAATGTGAAGTCAATGCAGAGGAGATTAAAGAACATGGAGAGAGCTCAAAAGGAGCTCCAGCTCCCAGAAGGATCAGAGCATCTTCAGGTCTTCTCCAGAGCCAGGGAGCTCCTTCAGCATCTGGAGGAGCTGGAACAAGCCACCAAAGAGCAAATCTCACAGCTGGAGGTGAGGCACGGTCAGAATCGTGAATAAATAAGGATTTTTTTGTTTCTGTTGATGTTTGAGAAGATTTGTATAAAAGGTTTTTACAGATTTAAGTCAAAAATAAAACAACTAAAGTCAAAGTTTGGGTTTTTTGTTGACCCAGAGCAAGAAAAGAGAGGAAGACGAGGGTTTTCTCCAAACTTCAGTCTCTAATTCTCCTGAAGGAACGTCATGGAGGAACTTTATCCGGGTAAGAATGATCAGGTCATACAGGTCGCCACAAATAAAGAAATGAGTCTGATCTGGAGATCTAAACCAGTCGTGCATTTCTGATGCTTTAATACTTCGTTTGCAGCAGTTAGTTGCTTTTTAAGATCAGTTCCTGAAAACTTAAACGGTAAAAAATGCAGAATTTTGCCATTTTAAAAATCTCGAACATTTGTCTCTAATGATGAAAAGACTCAAAACTGCGATGCAACTGTGATTATTTCCTACTTCAAACTGTAAGTTTTCTAGAACGACTTTAGCCTGTGTAGCGGTGTGGATTAGCTACATTCATTAAATGACCAATAGGATGTGATATTCCATAGAAATCTGAATCATCAATCTGATTGGTCTTTGAATGTTTGATCTTGATGACCCGAGGTTCTTTGACTGTTCAGTAAACGCACACTTCACATTAATTCAGATAGAGTCAAGGATATAGTTATAAAATGAATTTAATTCTATTTTCCTAAACTAGTGATTATGCAGGACAAAGTATGAATGAGATGATGGAATGTAAGCTAGATGTTTAAAGTAAAACCTGGTTAAGAATCTGAGAGATGTTGTCATGTCTGGGTTGTAAAGCCAGTTTGGCAGTATGGTTTGATAAGCTAGAGATTACTCCTAAAACCATCCGACACGATCGTGCAGCGTCTACAAACCCTTGTGTGATGGTTGCTCATCGGCGGTCCGGAGGAAAGGCAGCCAGAGTGGTGATTTACCGGATGTTTTGGCTACAGGAATCCCAAAGAGTCGTAGTTCCCTTTAAATTCAGATTTCACCGGCCATGAGATGCAGCCCGGGTCTGCAGGTTAGATGTGTAGTGTCTGAAATCACTCGCAAGCGCATCACTGGCTAGATCAGGAAGTGTTCTAGTCTTTATTAACTTTATTGTTGACAAATTTAGACAAATCAGAATCTGACAAGTTTAAAGGCATTACTAGAGACCTCAGAAGATCACTCCCTCATTCAGATACTTAGAGGTTAACACCTAGTGTGAAGTAAAAATGTTAACATTTAATAGTACAGTGATAATATTGTGCTCGTACTGATAGATTAAACTACAAGAATCAACAATTACTGCTCTGGTG